TGGTTTGGCCCCTGGGAGGCCCTGCATCTTTTCCCCTGTGATCTGGGAGCTGTCATTGTATGTAAAGCACTCCGGGCAATCCACGAGTTGCCTCCAAATTGTGTGTCGCATGTGCGGCCATGTGAAGCGTGCATGGATCGTTTGTAGCACCTTCTTCCAATTTGCATGACCCAACTCTTGGTGGTATCGTTCAATAACTTTGCGGGTTTGGCCCGGGTGGACGGTGGTGCGTAGGTCCGCGGCCAGGATCAAGACTCGGCTAAGTGCGTCGGGTGCCTGGAGTAGTACCCCGGGCCGGTATTCCATCTCGCCCTGGTACTGGCCCAGTTTCATCTGCAGGCGTATCAGGCGTGAGGATTTGAGCTTGCCCAGTAGGGGTTGGTGATTGGTGATCATGCCCAGACCATGGCCAGGAGTTTGCGTTCCGTGTTCGTGTACCGGGTCTCCTCATCGGTGAGCACCCGGCTGGCATACTGGATGACGGCGGGCCCGTTGTTGGGGTGGATCTGGATCAGCACCGCGCCCAGGCTGGAGGCGGATGCATCCGTATGGACTTCGATGGGCTGTGCTTCGTCGTAGCGCTCCAAGCGTGCTGCGTGTGCAATGGCCTGTTTTAGGTCCCAAAAGGCTTGGTCGGCGGGTGCGTCCCAACACAGCGTTGTGCTCGGCTTGGCCGGGATGGTGCTCCGCAGTACTTTTTCTGCTGTCGCGAAGTTGAGGGGGATGTGGGCCCATAAGTATGTGGCCAATCCCAGGAAGCGTTGCATCTCCTTTGTGGTGTTGGGCCACGGGTACTGTTTGTCAGCAGCAAGGTTGTGGGGGGCCGGCCGGGCCCCCGTTTGGTCAATGACCAGCCCTAGGAATCCGATGTGGCGAGCCAGGAACTTGGACTTGTTGATGTTGATTGATGCCCTGGCATTGTCCAGTGCGGTGAGTACGTCTTGTAGGTTCTGGCAGACAGAGTCAAACGTTTCCCCAAAGACAATTATGTCGTCGATGTACGCCAGGCACTACGTGAGTAGGTGCGGGCGCAGGATGGAATTGATGGCCCGTTGAAACAGGGCTGGCCCATTTTGTAGTCCAAAAGGGAGGACCGCGTACTGCATCTGCCCCTGAGGGGTGGAGAATGCGGTCTTGGGGCGGTCCTGAGGCACAATTGGCAGATGGTGGAAAGCGTTGTGGAGATCGACGGTGCAGAAGTAGGCATTGCGGCGTCACAGCCCGTCGACCAGGTCCTGTATGATTGGCATTGGATAGTTGTCAGGAACCAGCAGCGTGTTGATTTTTCTGTAGTCCTCAACGAGTCGCCATCTTTTGGTTGCAGGTGCGTCGGCGCGACCGGATTTCTTGGGTGTGAGAAATGCCGGTGAGTTGTACGGGGACGTTGCGGGTTCGATGATCCCAGCGGCGACGTAGTCGGTGATGATCTCCTTGAAGGGGGCCAACTTGTTGGGTCCCTGTCGGAAAGGCGGTGAAGCTGGCGGGGCGGCGGTCGTTGTCTCCAGGGTGACGGTGTATTTGGGGAGGCAGCCATGATGTCCCGACCAATGGAACACTGCATCCTGGTGTTGTACCAGAATTCGGCGGATTTTGTCCCATTCGTTGGCTGTCCCATCGATGAACGTGATGCCTTGGCCGGTTGCCATGCTTGGGGTTGCGCGGAGTTTGGCGTGGAATCTGTACCCGACGTAGAGTCGGTTGCCGTCGAGTCCGATGGTGATGGGCAGTTGTCCCAATAGGTCCCGGCCCATGATGACGGGATGCGCGGCACATGGCAGGACCCATAGGGTGGTGGGGTAAGGTTTGTTGTGTATGAGCAGGTCGACCTGGACCATGTCCGTGATGCGGATGTTTGATGTGTCAGCCGTCGATACGTTGACGTTGGTTGGGCGCAGCTGGAGGCCGTGTGTCATGGCCCATTATCGTTCCACGAACGAGTGGGAAGCGCCTGTGTCGATCATGGCGTCACACTGGTGGTCGCCGACGGCAACTTGTAGGAGGATGGGGTCGGAGGCGTCGGTTGCGGTGGTGAGAGAGCAGAGCGCCGCTGTTACTGCTCCCTCCATCCGTTTCCCTTCAGCTGAGGGCACTCTTTGGCGTGGTGTCCCATCTTCTGGCAGGAGGCGCATGGGAGAATGCTGCTGGCAGCGGTATTGCCGGTGCTGGCCGGGGCCGTGTCCGTCTTCTCCTTGTCATCGCGGTCCCGCTTGGTATAGGCCGGGTGTTTGGTTTCCCGAAAACATGCGCGGCAGGTTTCTGTGGTGTGCCCCTGGGAGCGGTGCCAGTCGCAGTACAGCTTGGCGCCCGGCGTGGTGCAGGTTTGGCGGTCCGGCCGATTTTTTGTGGGCATCGTCGCAGTGGCGGTGCTGTCGGATTGTTCATCGAGCAGGTTGCGAATGCTGTCTGCTAGGTCCACGAGTTTGTCCCACTGGATGTCCGGTTTTGTGTTGAGCTTTGCACGGAGTTTGTTGGCGATGCGGGCATCAGCCACCTGGAGGAGTTGTTCGATGAGCATTGGATGCATGACATACAGATGGTCCGGTGTGACGTCGTCTGGGGCTAGACGGAGGAACAGCTGGTAGTCGTCCTGTAACCGCTTGGCGAAACAGCGGTACGTCTCGTTGGTGTTGATTTGCAGGTGTTGGAAGCGCCAGAGTCATTTGAACTGCGGCGTCGGGTGGAACCTGGTGATTGCCTTGACAAGGTCCTCGAACGTGTGTGCGCCGGAGGCGTAGGCGCGGCGGGCCGTATTGGAGATGTCGCGGGAGGTATTGTGGGTGAGGCACCTGACCTTGTCGTTGTCGTCGACATTGTTGATGATCAGGAGTTCCCGAAAACGGATGGCGTAGTCCTCAAAATCCTCGTCGCTGTCCTGCTTTGGGAGGTCTGGGGCGCGGTGGTCGTGGACGCACTGCGACGGAGGTGGCAGTATGCGGGGCCCTGGAGGGCTGGCTGATGTGGCGGTATCTGCGTGGGACATCTGGAACATTAGGAGGGTTACCGGCAAGATGTTCAGGTTTTTGAGCAATTTGATATAGCTCGGTTTCTCCGTAGTTGGCGGGCGTTTGGCCACGTAGGTCTCCGTGAAGCGCTGCAGTGTCGTCAAGGAGATGAAGTCCCACGGATGCGGCGTCAAGGTGGAGGAGATTGCACTGGGCGGCCTGCCCAGCGATGATTCGGATGCGGCGTTCTCCGTAGGTGGGGTGGGCTGTTCCTGCTGTTGCCCGAGGGATGCTGCGCATGCTGACTGGACCTGGGCCAGCTCGAGGGCTGCCCGTCTGGCGGCTTTGGACGTTTCCGTATCCCTGGGTATGGTGATGGTTGTGGTCGGGTCTGGTGGTGTAGGTTGGCGGACGAGCCCCCAGTAAGTGTTTGGAAATCGTAGATGATATACACGTGAAAAGAGCAGAGTATATTTTCTTGTCATAGGCGGTCGGTTCTGACGAGGACACAGAAGGGTTTTTTATGCACAAGACACAAGATACACGGAGCAGCTAGGAGACGTGGTCAGTGCAGAAGTTTGGACTGAAGTGAAGTCTTCCGTTTGGGGTTGTCCTTATGTGTCCGTGTGTGTGACCTTGGTTCCGTTAGGTTTCGTTGTCTTTTTCGGCGGCGGGGTCCGTTAGGTGCTGTTGCCCTTTCCGGCGGATGTTTTTCCAGGTTGGCGTTAGGGTCGCATCCTTGTAGATCTGCGGGAGAGATAGCGTGATAAAGTTGTGTTCGAGATTGGTATCTCTCACTGAACAGTCCTCTGGAGGGGCAGCATGGAAGTGAGTTGCGTCGAGTTTGAAAGTGTACGGTAACGTCCGGTCACCCAGGTCGCTCGAACAGTACTTCACAATTCAGTACAGTATTGTCTGTGGTGACCGGACGTTACTGTACTGACAATACTGTACTGAATTGTACAGTACTGTTCGAGCGACCTGCGGTAATATGTGCAAATGTCGTACTTGTTATAAATACTGCTAAGGAAGTACAACATATAGATACAAATTTAAAAAGTACTGTAGTATATTGTATTTAGTTAGGAAGGAAACTCTGCCATCAATCGCAAAAACCGACCACATTTGCCTCAGATTGGAAGCCAACAAGAAGTTCCACGATTCAATCGTAAAGCAGTGCAGTGCAATCCTACTTTCTTCGCAGAAATGATTGTGCACATGCAGTTTTCGCATATGGAATTTCCTCACAAGAAATGACGTAGATGGACGAGCGAATTTGGATTAAACTGTCCCGTGCGGCGCTCATTCATCATTTTCGTCTTGATTGAAAACCACCTCCTACTTGATCAAGAAAAATCAATCGCATGAGCTCTTCGAAAAAAAAAATTTGAATTTATTATTCTTGTGAAAAACATGAACACAACAAACCTATACCTCTTACAGAACATGACTTCATCCCATTAAAAAAAATCAATGAAGCGTCTTCGTTTCACACCAGCGCGTTCAACAATGCATCACAGAATTCACAAAAGCGAAACAACAATTTTGTTTCATGTATCCCTCCACTCAGCATCCAATCCAAATTCTTCCGGTCAGATCTCCATTTCAGGCATTTCTTCATCTGTCAAAATAGAATTTGAGGATTATTTGTGGGTTGTTGACGAATGTGAGGAAGAAATCCCCGGAATGAAGGATTCGAGCCTTCTCACAGAATTTTTACTTTTACCTGGAGATGAAAGTACTGTTGTATATGTCTGAAACAAATCTTGTAACTGACACCTAATGTTCCAATCGCGCATTTTTTCGAATTTAAATTTGGCAAAGGGGTTTAATTTACACGCTTAATTTGATAGATTTTCCCTTCCGTATGCACGCAAAAATGTGTTCTTATTTCTGATCCTTTTACAGGACTGTAGTTCATCCTCCTTTTCCATTCATTTATCAAGCAGCGACGCATCGGAGCGACTAAAAACCGAAGGATCATCTAAATAATTGAGGTGTGATTCCGTAACGTTAAATGAACTGAAAAATGGTGCCTGTCATTATTCTGGTACACTAACCCATTAAATTATCTTCTGCGAAAGATAAGCCTGAGGATTCTCCGGAAGAAGCTTTATCCAACTTGAGTAAATATTTCGTGACCAGGACATGCATCTGCGGATGCTTTTCCTCGGTAGAACCATGCACTTCGGACATCAACGTGCAACGATGATTCAACTCCAGTCGAAGCCTCAACACCATAACTGTGGCCTGAAAATAATTTTCATATTCTCATCATCGACCAAAGAAGTAGAAATTTGCTCTTACCTTATCCTCGAGGCCGAAGGAATCACTGTTCAGCATTGACTTTATGACCGCGATGAAAACTCTCGCGAAGTGCTTTTCTAGGTAATCCATGCAACGGCCCAACGGCATTTCTCCAGCCAGCCACATGACGGCGAAGCAATATTTCACACCAGCTTCTACTATGGAATAATCCTGGCTACCAACAACTATAAAAAAATAATACAGAATAACTTGCCCTTCTGATACTGAAGAAAAGAAGACCGTCCTTCCGATTGCTTACAAAAACGAACGTATTCAAAAGTACGAACCTGAAGTCAACGCTTCGTAGCAAAATTCTTCCAACTTTCCCACGAAGTCCGCCTTGAACCGGCACAAAGAAATGAACTCGGCGCCGTACCAAATAATGTTCCTCACGATACCAACGCTTAAAGCGGCGTCGGGGCTCAATGTATCCCCAGTGTTCTTACGATTTTTCCTCGTCATCACTTCGTTTTGGTTCAGTATCGGCATGCAGCTGAAATCAAAGCTCGAATGAACTATCATTTATACTTAAGGGAAAATAGTAATCTTACGTATTGGACAAGGAAAACAAGACATCCATAAATTTTGAATCCGTGAGCGGAAGTTCATTCTCCACCAAAGCATACTTTCGCGGGAAGATTTCGAACGGAGGTCTCGGTGGAGTGACGATAAGTGTAAAAAGTGTCGCGCACTCCAGGCCTTCAACCAACAACTTATCATGCGTATCCAATGCTTCATGTGGACCCTGGCTGAATCGTAACTTGATATTCGTCTAAAACACAACAGAGAGATAGTCTTTTCACAAAATCCCCTGAATAGGAAAAGTCGGCAAAAATCGGAGTGCGGCCACATAATGAATGCAATACTTGAGGCAAATTTAAAATCACGTTATATTTCATTTAACGATTTTGACGCGAGATTAAAACGCTGGCGCGTCATAGAACTGATGGCGCTCTAGGAACGCAACAAATGCATGTTCAAAAATGTTCTCACCCGGACAAATCGTCGCAGGAATTTCCCCGACCACTGCAATTCATCGCCATACATATCCAAGATCCGACTGAGTAGCGATGGCGTTTGAAGTAAAGTCCTCAAGAATCTCAAACCTCGTCTGCCCTTAACATAGACAAGGGATCTAAATGTAAGATGTGACCGCGGAGGAAAAGAGCCGAAAAAGCTGCACCTTCCGAGTCTGTCGCCTGAGCGTTCTAGTAAAAGAACTACTGAGAACCTCGAAACGTGTTACGATGCGTCATATATCCATTTTCTCAATGTCACGAAAAGATCTTTCGCTTTTGACCACTGTATCAACGACGTCAGTAACGGTCTGAAGCAACTCGGCTTTGAAGCTTGAAGAAGATCATCCGGTGTGACTGTAAAATAATTGAAAGACACATAAAGCTGAAATGAATCGATTACACGGGCGAAATTGAATCATCAATACTTCCAAGAAAGGGCATATGGTTTTTTTTCTCGAAAATCGAATGCAATATGCTCTTGGTGCGAAACAAAGATTGTCAGTCAGTAGGTGAACAAAATATATCTTTGGAACTGTTGGCCGACTTCTGATTAAATCATGTATGGCTGATCGAGATTTTACGGACCAGGGGTGAAAGTACGAACAAGGCGACACACCCGCGAAGAGATGCCGGGATGTCGGCGGTTCTATCAAGGGGAAATCCATCAGCATTTCAAATATATCCATTTTCTTCTCCATCTGCTTCATTGGAGCTATGCTAGACAGAAACGCAACTGAAACTTGAACGTCCAACCCATTCTAGATGAAATGGAGATTTTCAGATCATCATTTCGCGATGCGACTCTTCTTTTGATCTTACCGCATTTAAAATTTCTGGAAGGCATTCAACGTAATTGGGAATTAAACTTTTGTGTTTTTCGTGCGGGAAGAGGTTCCTGTTCGTCATCCACACCATAGACCCTATCTCAAGCATTCCCCGAAGAACCTCAGGGTCGGCGCACTTATCGCGAGCTTCCATCAGCATAGTTTGACAACCAGGAGCGGTAGACATCAGCTCATCTGAAATCATATCAATGCATGAATTAATCTAACGGAAAAACGATTGATTCATAAGAAAAAGTAATAAGAATGACGTAATTTCTCAACACGTTCTCACAAACTCGAATTCATGTGAGAGATTACTCTCACTTACTCAACGTTTACGCGTATCGTTGACTTCGTTGCACCGTACATGCATAGTAAAGGAATATCGTTTCAGAATTATTTTCGCATCAGTGAGCTCACAACTTTCTAGAGTCAGTTCGTTCAATCATCATCACGAACTTATGATACAGATTTAAGTAAATATTTTTTCCGTTCCCTTCAAGGAAAATATTTCAAAAATCCTACTGAAAATTTCTCCGTTTCTGTCGCAGTAATTCGCTCCAATAATTAACATCAATTGTGCCAGGAACTCAATCGCCTCCGTGGGATTCAGTTCACACATCAGCAAAGCCCTTGAGAAAAAACAACCCGGAATGAGTGGTTGAAAGAGTCACATACAAGACGGTGAGCTTACTTCAGATGCTTCAAATTTTCTCCGAGCAAAGCAGTGGCAGCACACACCTTTTGATAGTGGTAAATCTTTTCGTACTTCATCATTGCGAAGAACAATTTCGCCACATTCCCGCAATTTTGCACCGGCTGTAAAACATATTTTTGCATGAATGAACGAAAAATTGGTGGATAATGCTACATTCAACTAACCAATCGAGCGATTGATTCCCCAAGAAGAACCAGCGCTTCTAAGTGCGTCTCCTCTGGAATAACTTCCGGAGACTTTACGGCAACACCGGCTACGATGTCTAATTCCTCATGAAGCCAGTCTTCATTGGATCTTATGACGTCATTCACAAGGTGATCGATCAGTTCTTGAGCAGGTGGAACATTATACAGCGATACGAAGTTCTGTTGAAATAAGTATTTCCACGAAATTAGAAATGTGCTGAATTTCCATTCTAGTTCATCACTCTAATACGATTTTACTCCATGACGAGGAAAGCAGATTTTCGAAGTTGTAGCATGATTTATAGATTCAAAAACGTTCAACTTTTCATCTTTTTTGTAACATCAAGTATTTCTGCATGAGGAACAAAATAATCAACGGTAAACCAACCTTGAGAATAACTGCACGGGTTTTTCCTTTTTCTTTCTTCAACTGATCGTGCATATGATGAATGAAGCCAGAAATTTCTTCATCAGTGAACACCTTCAAGCTCAACCGGTGCACGTTCAACAAAATTTTAGTAAGACCCTGCACAAAAAGAACAAATGAATTACAGTATAATAACACTAACAAGGAAATGACATTTTTACTAGAGAATTTACCTCCCAAGCAGCGATTCGACAAACGTCATCTTCATCCTGTAAAATCGAGTTCAATCTGGTTCGCTGCTGGTTCAAATATTCGCTCCGCGCTGCTTTGCTATTCACGTTGAACTTGTTGAATATCTCCCGATACGGTAACTCCAACGGAAATACGTCAAGAAACAACTTGATCGCGTAAACACGCTGAAGCGGATTGGTGAACTGCAGAAGGAAATTTTCGTTGCATTAATTTGAGATCAATGTGGCACAGACACGCAATTGAAATCGAATATAGAAGAAGCCTTTACGGTCCAAAGGAATAAAGTAATACTGTATTTTATTTAGTTCTGTTCGAGAAGTGCGGCTAAGTTTACAACACGGAATTCGCATCTTAGTTCATGGGAAATTCCAGGTCAGCGCATTTCATCTACATCTCGGGAAATTCGTAAAAAAAATAAGGAGTAACACTCCAAGATTTTCGAAACAAGAATCGTTTTCAGAAATACGAGGCAAAGAAATCAGAGAGGTTACGAAAGATTGGAAATATCCTTCGATGTACTTACAAGGAAGTAAGATGATGGGATCAAAAATTGATGAAAATCACAATAATTAGATTGATTGTCAAATAAATTATTAGGGTTCAGATGAGTCGAACGTGGGCTTCGTAGAGATTCTCTCACACCAAAAGTTCGTAGGAAAAAAAAATGCATCAAGGAATTACAAAAATTGAAAATAGCATACTTACGCTAACACCAGCTTCGATCGAACTATCATAAGCGTGATAGAACAAAGCGAGACCCGTTTCATCACGCTGAGTACGCCTATTAAACGCCACGAGAAACTGTAAAACAACTGCGGGAATCGACACACCAACTGGCCCCGGACGCCAATGCCCTCGGCAACATACATCCGTCAGCTTTCGAAGCGTGTTCGCCACATGCTGAAACGTAAAAGTGATTAACAAAAAACTTTTCTCGAACAAAATCCAGATCTTCGACCAAAACTCATTGCCTTGAAAAAAGGCAAACCAAGAGGTCATTTTCAAAGTTGAATTACTCTGCGGACATTTTCGTGAGCAAATATTTCAATTAAATGCCTCAAACATATCCGAGGGAAGGCCTTCCGATGCTTCCTTGAACTTCGCATTGTCTTGGAGTGATACTTTCAGCTAAAATCATACTTCAAGCAAACATAAATTAAGAAAATTACATTCAGTGGTAGAAAGATGTTCAATGAGCTAAATGAGACAATTCAGCTTTGAATTGGAACCATCTCATCAACCAACTACAGCGATCCAAGATATCATAGATATTCAGAACATGCACCGATTTTTTTGCTTAGAAAATGCGTTACGCAGTATCAAGCCTAAACCAGTAGTCGTCGCCTTAAAAGTCAATAGCTTTTTTACAGCTGGATGGCTGCGACTAGAAGCTACTTATAGCCTTGGCGAAAAGAACCCTTCCGTTAGCTTTTGAAGCCTCTTGCGTAGGCCCCAGCAACGAGCCAAATCTTCTCTGACAAAAGGAAGCTCGCGAAACAAGAATTTGTCAAACCAAACCAAGGATTCGTATGTTTTCAAAACGGAAACAACGACGGAGAATCCATCCGCCTGCAACATCAGCCGTCGATGAAGGAACATCCGCTCCAAAAAACACGAAACTCCGGGATCAGCAAGATACTCCCACAATTCCTCTCTTCCCACAACGCGTTCCATGGCGTAGATGACATCCAGCAATTCTTTCCGCTGAAAAATAATTCCAAATCAATGCAAGTATTTTACTACAGATATATTACGTGGGTTGTGAAGTACAGCGTCGTCAAGTTTCTTGAAGCATGCAACATCGCCTTTTGAAGCTTTTCATTTATTTTATTTTTCTCAGGCATTTCCAAATCCTCAAAGGATAAACAATTAAATCGACACAGATTGATACAGGTTTCGCCAACAATTTTAGGAGCAGTCGAAGAACTTCCCATTAACAGCCTTTGCCGAGTGTTGAAAAACTAAACGAAAAAATTCGTCCGGTTTCGTGATAGAAAATTTGCCTGAGCATGCGTGTCATCTTCAACGATAAAATACTATTTTCTATTCTAGAATATAGACTCATATTTTCACTTTTAAAATAAAAACCATCGGGTCAATCGCAAATTTTGTATCAGTTTCAACGCAGAAATTTGAACCGTTTCATAAACAATGATATATTGAAAATGAAGTAATCTAGCATCTCGACTCCGTATTACCACAAAAAATTGGGACTGACTAAATCAAGTTACAGTACTGTAAATGAAAGAATAAATAAAATCAAAATGTTAACGTCTTCATCCGACTTTAAAATTTAAATTCTAGGATAATTGTTTTGAGTGGCAAAGACCTATTTCGTGTCGGTATTCGTGCTTGTAAACATACTGGCAGGGTGGTTGAAGAAAATCGCCGTTTAGAAGTCCTCTAAGTATCTTCCTTAGGAGTATTAGGAGACCTTTTTTTAAATCCCAAATTGTATTGAAACAAAGCCAAAGATTCCATTCGGCCTTTTTGAATTCTTCCACAATTTTAAAAAAGAAATGTCGTTCTTCCTTAGTTGCGCTGCGATATCGAGTGGGTACCATATTCGCATCCTGACATTCTTGAAAAAGGCCTTCGATGAAATAGTGGCAACAATTTTGGAGATATTTGCTTTTCTGCCAAAAACTGGCGTATAACCGGAGGCTGCACAAATTCGGCGCACTGCTTTTCATCTTCATGGTGGCCTCTTTGAGATCGTTCGATAGTTTATCGACGAACATGACTACTGCTTGTGCTAGCCGCTGATTGATCTAAAAAAAATTCAGCGTTTCAACTATAAATTCTACACGAGAAAAATATATTCATACTTACGGTTTCTGAAAATATTGCTTTGGAAGCAAATTCGCCCAAAATTCGCCAGAATCCTTCAACAACAACGATTATGCTCTTCTCGTGCCCATCGAAACATTCAGGAAACTTCTCAAGTCCTTCCAAAACAGAAGCAGGACCCTGGAAGAAAATTTGCAATGCGTCAACAAACATAAGAACAATAAAATTATAAATAAAATCATCTTGAAAGGAATTTTGTTTGCTCAAGGGGATGCAAAGGTTAACAAATTGATATTTTGAAGGGACGAGAAGACTTAATCAAGTAGTAGAGCGTCCACAGTGCGGACAAAAAAACGAAAAAAATGGAAAAACGATTGCAGAAGTGGGATTTGAACCCACACCCGCAGAACCACACTGTGACCAGAATGCAGCGCCTTAGACCTCCTGGCCATCCTAACAACTTAATGTTAATTGATGCGTTTTCAAGTAGGCAAATTAATTCAAGGTGCAAAAGGCCACAGACACACGTTACACTACGTCCTTATTACCAGGACAGAAACAAGTTTCTTCCTTACCCCATATTGATCAACAGCTTGCAGGAATTCACGGTCATTCTTGTCGTATGTTAAATCCAATATTCTTTTCACATCGTCACGGATTGACGGGCCTTGCGCTGCTTGTCGCGACGTATCTGTCTGCGAATCAACACTCATTGTCTAGGAAGGAAAATGTGCAAGGATTTCTAACATACACTTAACCCTTCAAATCACAAAAAATTAGAATCTAAGAATTTTTTGAAATATATGCGCGAATAAATTGAACACAACGTCATCATTCATTAATATTCATCAACTTTAAGGGAAAATACCACCGCTGCGGGACTTGTCACATCCACAACAACAAGCTCCGTCCCGTTTTTCAAGCCCAGTTCTGCAAGAAGAAAAATGGATCAGGTGAGTCTTTGTTCAATCAAAATAAAGATCAGCCGAAAATGGAACGCAGCATGTTTATCATTAACTCATTCGTTGATGTTCGCAGTGGTTTCCAAATTACAGTATTCGTATTGTACACATCAAATTACGACTTTTACTCGAATAAATCTCGTGACACATAACAAGATAAAGCAAATCAACCTGAATCAAACTTTGACCGAACTTTAGAACAGTTTTGTACATGACGAAGAGGAAAACATTATTATAGTGTACGTTTGAAAATTTCGAACAAGAATTCAATTACAGTATTCTTTTGGATTCAGCAAGTTATATCGTCTGTTCTGCTGTGACTTTTTACCAACCTTTCACCGTTTTCTTCAAATTTGGTCTTGTCTGTTCCTCAATGGACGGAACACTGTTCATGTAAAGCGTTCGAGATGTCCCAGCTACCATAGCCCTCAATCCAGGCTGCTTCATTTGATGCTGCTCCATCAAAATTTCCACTATGGAATTCAACGTGTCCTGAGGTTTAACTTGCAATGGCTGCGGTACTCGACTGCATCCCAAACAATCAGTTCTCTTCTCAGCTTCGTAGGCGTATGTATAAATTCCATCAGTATCATTAAATACCATGTAATTATTCAATGCTGGAGCACAAGTGGCTGCTATTTTGAAGACCTCGGTGGCTAAAGCGGCAGCAATCACAGCATTTGTTGAAGCTACGGCAGGAATAATGTGCTTGACCACTCCCTGAAACATGCAATATCATCCAGAACGATAAAAACTGGGCAAAATATGGTAGCTCTTGAAAAAAGAAACACAGATCACTTCAGCAGAAATTGTATTCTGTTGAACAGCCTAATTAAATGTATTTGTTGAAATACACTACTTTACCGTACTTAATTTTTTCCGCCGTTCATCATTTCAAAATCGTGTACAAAATACAGTATAGTGACTAATAAACAAACTTCTGAGCGGTTAGCGCCATCACCCTAGAAAAAATGCTCTTTCAGTTACCTGTTCAGTCCACTCTAATTCCATTTCAGTATATAGCTGCACTGCTCTGACTACCACAGCCATTTCAAAAGCAACTGCCCAGATGTTCAGAAGCTGAATACAGTATTTGATCTAGAAAAATAAAATCGAGACGATATGGAAATCTGAGGAATTCTTGAGCGAAAGTTTGTATTACCGAACGTCAAATTTAATGACCGCCACTTCAATGCAACTGAATTCATGAAATCGAAACAAATTTAAATGGTAGGCAATATTTTCAAAAAGGTGCTTCTTGAAACAACTCAGGAGATATCCGTATTTTGGTTCATCACTATCATCATATTCATTCAGAAAGGGCACCAATACCTGGGTTAATCGATAGTTGACACCGGTAATGCCGAATTGAGCAGCCCGCTCAAGGGCTTTTTCATAAATCCAGGCGACGTGATGCGGATCGTCTCCATCCAGTTGCACGTCTTCCCCGAATGGGTTCTCTTTAGACCAGAGTAAAACCCGAACATATTCCACGCAGTGCTCCGGCAACCGAGGCGTGTGAGCAATTGTACAAAGCGGAAAATTCACCTAAAAATTCAATCGGAAGCCGACATGAATGCGAATATTTCCCAGGCAAACGTTTGAAAATATTTCGGGAAAAAAACCCACTTGAGGTGGAAACAAATCCAGCGTACATTCTACACAAGCAGACATTCCAGGAAGTATAACTCGAGCATTTCCTTTAAATCCTTCCGTTCCCCCGTCGACCAAAGGAACGATGGAGGTTTGATCCAACTCGCCGTTATCATCGTACCTAATTAAAAATATCATCACATGATGCAATTGCTCAAGCAATCGAGCTACGGGGAAAATGTACTCACCTTAGCAAGCTTAATAACATGCCATTAATCCAACGCCGAGCCACAATCGAGTCCAACCCACAGACAACGATATGGAAATCAGAATAGAATCCGGCATCATAATCCTGAATTTTCTTGTAGTGTCTAAAACAGAATAAAATTTCCCATTCAGTTGGTGGCAAAACTGTTCTTAGATTTATCGAAACGAACAGTACATGGGGTTAAACAAAAGTTATCGGTCGCTTCACAAGTACAGTGATGTAATACAGTATTTTTTTCATGTTCTCGAACACTGCGAATTGATAAGCAACTTCTCTAATACAGTACAAGTAAAAAAATGCCTTGACAAATATGCATTTATTAAGATTAATTTTTCGTGGAATTATTTTCAATTACAGGTAAAATGAGACTGTAGACGATTTAAAATATTCACGACATATACGTAAAACTGAGGTACACTTAGAATGGCATTATTAATCGAAATAATCCTTTTTCTTCAAAAGCCTTTTTCTACCGAACAAGAGAATCATCCAATTTACGGCATTCATTCGTTCTGCTTCCAAATTACAGTTATTCCAGTCGTTCCTATCAAACTGGATTTTTTAAAACCGATCCCTTCGTAGCATCCAACGGGGTTTTCGACGAAAGGCAAAAAATTGGGAATTGGAGTGAAAATTTACACAGAAATTCAAGTGATTCTGAATAGTTTCTGAAACTAACGAAGAAGAAATAAAGAATGATGATGAATATAACGAAATGCCTAATAAAAATTGTTTGCCAAAAAAGCGAAAATAAAAAATGCACTCACGGCACGACATTCGACCCTGGGATCCGCTCGTTAATGAAACGAGCAGCTACTTCTGCTTTCGGCTTTCCAACATCAGCAGGACGGAACAAGAACTGACGATTCAAATTGGACACGTCAATCGTGTCCATGTCGATAACATCGATGTTCTTGATGCCCATCAGCGCGAGATTCTTCAATAGTTCGCATCCCAATCCGCCGGCCCCCACAACCAAAACTTTGCAATTTTCGCGCAAAAACGGAAGTATGTCCGGCGATGGCTCAAAATCTGGATGCGCTAACGGACCAGAACGTTCGAGGACACGCTTTACATACGACCACCGAGCAGAGATTTCCCCACTGTGATCCATCGCGGACCTGAATGATGAATGATCATGAAGTTTGAATCATAAGAGAGATATTCAAGTTATGTTCACCGATCTGTCCGACCAACAATGAAAATTCCGAAAGTAACACCTCGTGAACAACGGAGTAAAACTGAGCAGAAATACTATAAATTAAAGCTAAAACGTACAGCAGTTCAGAAAGTGACATGACTGAATTACGTTCACGTGTCGATAGTTACATATGTCGATCTCAATTAGTGATAAACCGTTGGGAAGCAGTCACAATAGTTAAGGTTAACTTTCGGAAATCGCGAAAAATCGATGAAACACAACGAATCACTCGAAGAAAACAAAAACTCATACAATCTCTGCAAAAATTTCAATTTTAAATGAAGCAGCTTTTCAAAATTTTATAAAATCCACGCCCTGACATCACGAGAAAAAATAAATTGGCCGACAATGAGCAACAAATAAACCCGAGAACAATTTTACACCAACGGAGCAACAGATTACGATGCAGAGGAACACACCAGATAAAAAAAAATGTTCGAAAAGGCGATTACAAAACATATACATGGCAATGAGAACGATTCTCTAGAACACAACTAAAACCTTTCACTAGGGTAAAACACATTGTATACACACTTACACCGAGGAGAATGGCACGACAGGAATTAATGCTTTGCGAGCAAAACGCGACTTTTAACACCTAAAAACTATTGGGAAAATGAAAAAAGGTATGGCGTGATAAAAAGTCGCCCTTTTTCTTTGAGGTATGCTTCGACGTTCAAAATTACCCTTTCTTCACAAAATTACAAAATTATTCGAGAACACGCGCAGCGGAAGATCATGGTTCACAGCTGATTTTCAGTAAAATACAGGAAGACCTTTAAAGCCTTTCGATTTCGACCAGATCAATCAAAGTATAATCTCAATGAGAAGCCCATCGACTTCAGATCAATTCTGAGAACATCAATTCGTGAATGAGATAAATCGCCCCAAAACACAGTTTAATGAAGATCTCTGAAAACGAAAGAATTATATGCATGCGTTTTTGATCAACTGAGAATGTCTAGGCCTCCATGTCGATCTGAGCATTTGAACTGTTCAGTTCTCCCTTCTTCAACCGAGCCTGTTCCACGCGTTTCTCTTCATCTTGGGCTAGCTTTTTAATCTTCAAAAGCTCAGCAGCGCGGTTTTCCGTAGCATTTTGCAATTGCTGATCTATTTTTGCACGCAAGGCAAGCAGTTCTTCTGTCTGAGTGGCATTCGCTTGAGCCACCTTTTCGAGATGATTTTTCAAACGAGCAACCATGGACTGGAGATTCTGGTCCCTGTTTTCATTGGCAGCTTTAATCTTCTCCTCAATGGAAAGCTTTAGATTCTCTGCACTGTTTTCCTTATTGTGCTTTATTTCCTGTAGAACGAGAAACACATTTTTCGCGAATGATTCAAGCATAGACTGGGATACTGCACATTAAAACAACAGAAACCGAGTCATAACGAGGTTGTTTCTCGACGAAAGCAGACCCTGAATTTGAATTTTTGGTCTGATTGACAGTGAAACTTAATGCATTTTCAAAGAATAGCATTGGCACACATTTCCCTCAACAGAGTTTTCGACTGCGCTCTCACAATATGCTTCTATTCGAAAATACCGGTGAAAAATGGTCAAAACTGTGTAACTATAAGCCTCTTCAAGAGAGACGAAATCCGTTAAAACAACATTAAAATAAGAGACAGAAAGGAAAAAATACCCCGATATCAACAATCAAAGCCAACAATTATAATTAACGTCCAGCATTATTGACTGGTTTGAATGAGGCATGGCGAAATTAAAATCATTTAAATTTGTAATTAAATTATCTTTTGACAGGAAGATCCCAACTCATTCTTTAAAACACGACCTAAGGTAAAGAGGTAAAAACTCACAGCAATTTTATCCAGGCGCTCTTTCACACGCTGCTTCAATTCTTCCAAAGTTTTGACTCGTTTTTCTTCGGCACCTTCCAATTTTGAATCCAACGCTTCTTTCGTAGCGCTGATAAACTGTCCATGAAGGACGGCCTTTCTTGCATGAACTTCCTCCATATTCGAAATATTTGCTCCCACGTTGGCACGTTGTTCCAGTTTCAAAGATCTCCGCTTTTCAGCCGCTTCCAGCTTTTGCACAATTTCGGTATGCGACCGCAAGGATTTCTCCGCAGACGCGATTGCTGGTTTAGGGGATGAAGGTTGCGCCAAAACAACCTCCATGCTCACTGCGTTGTTCGTTTCTTTCAGCACTCTAACGTTTTGGCAATCCATTTTTCTTGCAGAAATTTATTTCAATCGCGCAACTTGCTCAGAGATAAAAACACTCAAACCAATATCTACGTAAGGGATAAAGATCACCAAATAGATTCAAAATTGTCAGCAGGATCACAAATTGAAACAAACACTTGTAACATCGTGAAATACTCGTCCTTGATATCGAGTGAACTAGCAAAACCTTCATGAATCTCGCAGTGCACCACAGCATAAGTCTCATCACAATTGTAACATGGCAGTCGATAGACTGTGCAGAACACTTCACAGTAAACAACGAACACGGATAAAAAAGGATTCGTGCCTGAAATGTTACAATGCCCTTAGATCAGGAGTCACACCGACTAGATGTAGAAAGAGATGAAAACTCAATCAATGGTACTGGATAATGATGACACATTCCATAGAGACTCGAGGGTAAAGCCATCTTTGAGTCTTTCCACGGCGAGGCCGAGATCAGGATCATATATGGGATCACGATCAGACTGCTTCCCGCCTAAGTCAGCGAAGTAAGCCGCAAACGAATCCGATTCTTCTTGGTCATCGACCACATCTGCATCGTCCACATCTTAAACGAGATAAACATACATTAACAACAAACAAGCTTCAAAATGTTCAAGTCCCAACTCCTAACCATTTGCAGCATAATAAAAGGATAGACTATAAACAGAAATTGAAATCAACAACAAAAAATACCGCAAAATGGCGAAAATCAAGGTTAGTCGATGCAATATAGTACACTCAATTTCACCTGAAAAACTGAAAAATCGTTCAATATCCCGTCATTAGAGATAACTCTACCTTGAATACACGAGAGGATTTTCAAGTAAGATTTACAGAATTGATTTTTCAGTTCCTTTCTCATTTACTTCCACGAGACATTTCTAGACATTTTCCCTCAATAGACACTCATGCCAAGGCTATGCAACCCATACACTAAATTCGTTCAAACTGCCAACACCGTGTAACGTACTTTCAGATAAACTGATTGACAAAAATAACAGGAAGTTAACAGAGTATGTATGAGACAAGAAGGGGGAAGATACCTCTGTTTCCCATGTGATCATCAGTCATGTCAGTGTTCTTCTTCGACGTTTCATAGCGCACGCCAAAATCGGGGCATTTTCCATGAGAATCCCGCAAAGCAGTTATTTCTCGCACCTTCTCCTCCAAAACTTCTGAAGAGCTGGAGCCGTTTGGTGAATCAATACGAAATCCAAGCACATAACCACCAGAGCTTGAAGACGTTTCAACTACGAGTGCCCTGCCGAATTTCGAATCTCGCACACGAACTGTGGCCAACTTCAGATAAGGTAGCGAGAGGTTGAACAGTTCATTCAGTTCAGAATACCACAGAAGACGTATGTTCGTCAATATCAGCGTGCCGAGATTTCCCTACAATGCCGAACACTGTAAAATTTTCTCTAGGCCTTGATTTCATCAAAGAAACTACCTGATCACTTGAAAGATTCCAGACACCTGACGTTGACGAGCAAATCCTCTCACCATTAACCAGCTTCAACCTTTTATTTTCAAAAAGCGCCGTGCGGAGTTTGAGCTCGCGGTACACTTTCGACGAGTTGTACGATCTGGAACAAAACTTAAATCAGTTTCTAGTTCTAATTTGTGTAAACTATACACTGTACAGAGCACTTACTTTTGGACACCCGTAATGGCATCCAGCATCCTCTCCCCGCAATATCCAATAGCATTGAAAATGAATTCAAATCTGGTGCCACCGGGAACTTTTGTCAAGATATACACCGCTCGAGTTATTCCTCCCAATACAGAATTGATGGTTCTAGCGCTGGTATGCACAACAGTGTCGTGCCCGATAGATAGGTTGACCCGCGGGTGGGCAATGGAATGCCACATTACTCGAAGATTTGTCAAAATCAGCTTCCCAGCATCGCCAGCATTGCCCTTCGTATCTTCAACTGGGGCAAACGAATCGATTTGAACTTCCCCGGGCCGCAACTTCAATTTCCTTCAAGCAGACGTGATAAATCAGAAGATCGGGCGCAGAGAACAAAGCGCATCACCACTTACTGGCTCGAGACGTCGAATCTGATGTCGCGATCTTCCCAAATACTTTCATGCATGATTCAACGCAACGAAACTGAAAATGAGTACACTATCAGATACGTCATACACGGGTGCGAAAGCAGGATTCGTCACATCATACACGGCTTTAATCTTTAAATGTTTCGTCGTCCACCGACTTGGCTTGACTTGACTCCAAAAGCGGCGCTGAGAGCGCGGGACACAGCCTATGCCATACGTCAAGTCGGCGTGGAACGGTTTACGACCATCCGAAGATGCACTGTCCTATAGACACTGAGCTAGACACAGTGACTCTATTAGGACTTATCATCTCTTATAGTGTTGCCTCTAATAACGAACCCCCGTAGTACGAACATCTCGTATATAACGAACGTCTTTTTGGCAAAAAGTCCCCTTGTAGAACAAACAAATTTCGTACAAATGTTTTCTGTGACTAAAAAATCAACACCTTTTCAATAAAATCCCCCATAGATGCCTGCCTGCTGTTGGAGGGTGTAAAACTGTGATTATTTATTGATGGGGTTGCATGCAGAGTTAAATGCGTATCTCAGATACGGTACAGTACATGCAGAAAACAATAAGCCATCAAGATATAACAGCTGGCTTTAAAAAAAAATTCACCAATTAACCATTTATAATTTGGCGTACCTAAATTCTTTGTTGACAAAACCTACTGTACATTGAGCCCGTATTTTTTCACCTCAGTACCGCTGTATATATACAAATCAGATCATTTAATGTGCTGCGTACATCATCAGCATATATTTTCTTATATAAAAATGACCCCGGTTGACCCGCATATTATCTCTTATGCAAAGGCATTTTCAATGCTCTTCCCCAGCTGGGAATAGATGAAGTTCATAAACAAAACATTCCTGTTGTTTTTTATCATAATTTTTTTGGATAATAAGTGCTGAGGGAAATTCCTTGTATGGTATACATATATTGTTACAGTACAGTGATTATACTTTTGATTTTTCTTGCTGCATACATCCGCAGTATATGTACATCACACATGATTTGTTCAGAAACTGCTGTTTGTCCCATTTTCATTGCGAGGGACAGCAGTGCTGATTTTCCCTGCAAATAAGAATGTTCTGCATATTTACAGGTAATTCAATCATGCATAAATTCTGCCTCTTCATTATTCCTCAGCCTATATATCTTGAATACCATGATAATTTTCTTGTAAACAATTTCTGGAGATGGATAGAGCTTATATATATTGATAAAAATATACGAAGTTTGCTTGTCAGTTCATATACAGGACTGCTGTATGTATTCTGTACTTTTCTTTGGCTGGTGACCCATAATCATAATTTCTTATACGCCTTCTGCAATTAAATGAATAATGCTTTCATTGCGGTGATGAAAAATTTTAATAATCCCTGGGTTTGCGCGTGCAATATTGATTCTTATTTCACGAGGGTAACAATAAAGCATGGAGGGAGATGCAAAGCAAATATAATTCTTGATTGGTTCTTGCTTTTCTGTTTCACTGATGCTCTCGAACCTCCGTTTGAGACTTCTTGCGCTTCTCCAATACCTTTTCCACGGTGAAATCCTGCAGAGAAATGCCTGTTGAAGATAAAAATTAAGATATGATGAACAATCTGGCATAAATATTAAGAACTATGCTAATGATGTATGACGATGAACATTGAGATAGCCCGACCTTCAATGCTGGGTTGTTCTCCAAGTGCCACTGTGAAAACTCCGTTATTTAGATTTGAAGAACTCTCGGCATCGCTGATGAATTCTTCGCGGATTTTTTCGAGGGCTGTTTATGAATGAATATAGTGATGTAATAATGATGAATGCAATTTTTTTTGCCTTTTGTGATGGACGTATTTTCTCTCACATACCTTTCTTAAGGTTTAGCTCCTCAAGGTCCTCTTTTGAAAGCATTTCCAACTTTTTCTTGAATTTATTTGCAATTTTGCGTCGATGTGAATCAGCCTCAATCTCTTGTTTAGTTCTTGGGATCCGGAAAGGTATGAAGCAGCAGATCAGAATTACTGATGAGGAAATGTAAAAATCAGTCACATTTTTATTTTTATTGAAATTTATTTAAGATTCAATGTCTTTTCTAAATGTTTTGATTTTTTTTATTGTATATCCATCTCTCCAAGGTTTTTCTCCCAGCATATGCACATTTAAATTGTTAAAAATGTAATATGATCGACAATAATACCTGGTGGTGCCTGCTTCGAAATATTTGATTCCCTTCATGCCGATATATTGCAGGAATCATATGCGTTTTAAATCGAATTTTTAACCTCAATGCATTGCTCTATACACAGTATGCAAATATAGAGGGTAAACATATAATTCTGGCTCAAGGGGGGAGGTCAACCCTTACTTATTTTTGAAAACTTCTAATTCCAAGTTTTAGTCTCCTTCAATTATACACAGTACATGTCAAGAAGCAATGTTTTCTCTGCAAGAAGTAATAAGGAAATAAATTAATTTAAAACGATATAAATTAATTAACACTACAGGCTTCAAAGAAATTGTGTACACAGTATTTTTATGCCATTGAATACTACAAATGGTACCTTGCAATTCAACACTAATCCATTTCAAAACTATACAGTCAAATTGCAAAGCGGTAAAATTGCATGACACTTGGGCAAATTCAAAACTAGCAATGCAGAAATGCAAAAAAAAGAGGCCAAAGCAGGTCAAATTACGGGGCTTTGGGTTGAATTGCAATTCAATCTTCCTGCTAATTTGATTGTCAAATTTTTGGGATGGTTGAATTGCAGGAGGTTGAATTGCGAGGTACAACCTGTATTTTTGATCACTATTTCATGTCCATTACCTGTACTGTACTCAGAAAATGGAAATTTTACATATTATATATTTTTTTCTGTGCAGTAACGTAATGTGAGTTTTGCATGAATATTTTGAAAAATTTTTAAATCTGACAATTTTAAGTGATTCGATTGGAGCTGACAGTAAATATTTATAATATTACTGTATATCATGAAAAATTGGCAGATATACTGTATGTTCAAAGTAGCTTGGTGACTTTATTCAATGTCAATTCTCTTTTCAATTTTTGAAACACTATTTAGACATGGTGTGCTTGCCTTCAAAAATAATCTCTATCCTCCGTAAGTATGAACTACTGTATATTCAACATGTATATTCATTCGAACTCTTGAAAAGTACCAAACAATTATCAGCAAAAAATTAATTTACCTTTTGGTTGCATTGTACTATACTTTCGTTAAAAATTATTAAAATATTATTCTGCCAGCAGAAATGACATGAATTGTAAATTAATTTGCACCAATAGATAAATTTCAGCAAACGATGGAGTTCGTGAACTCAATTGTACGTCTATCTGTAGATTATCATTAACTGTTTTCGTTGTAATTTTGTTTCTTCTTGAAATTTACCTGATCATTTTTTTTTAAATTTCGAATCCATCTCATGTTTTCCCACAGGTTATCAAGGATATATTTAAAAAACGTCTTGATCAATAAATTGGCTGCTGTGTGTTGGAACCGACTACAGAATATGCTATTTTTGTTGCTCAGATCTTACGCACCAACCCTGCATTATATTGTATATTATATACGAAGAGATCACGACTGATATAAAGGGCGGCTTTGAATGCATTTTCTCTTTACCAACAGACAACAATCCACCAAAGGAGAGAAAGATGATGTGCCAGACCCGGAACTTCCAAATCAAATTCCTTTCCATCCAGTTCTGACTGAACGATGGTCCTTGATGAAGGCCGATTTCATCATCACTGACATTGAAATCCAGGTGACCGTACAAGGACGAATTGATGTCTTCCTTGAACGACGACATATCTGCAGCGTGCATATAAAGGACGAGATGCAGCATGCTCATGTTGATGAGATTTATTCACTATTTGCGTGCAAATTTAATTCCAGGGTGAAATTTAATCCTTTACTCTATAGCATTTTGCTGCCCGATATAATGGCTCGCGGGCCAGATCTCGCCTAAAACGACTCTTCATTTGCCCCAAGATGACACCATCCTCAAGATGACAGCAGGGACTATTCAGAATATATTAAAAGATACATTTAAAAATCTTGCTCCACCCTGCTAAAATTCTACAACGCTATTATATGCTCGTGATTGAATAATGCATATAGAACTGAATACATTTTAAAACGGTTCTTTCAATTCGTAGCCTCGTCAAAAAATTGCTGACAGTTATCTAAAATGCAGAAAATGTAATGGTTTTGAACAACATAAATGTAAATTTATTTCAGCTATTTAGCATCCTGTGAAATTGGTGGAGAACTCCGCCTTTACCTGGAAAGTTGTCACTTATCATCAACCAGTAAATTAAAAAACGTCTTGAAAAATCAAATGAAAATTCCAGAACCTTATAGAACATCATGCGCTAAGTCATGATATACGGTATTCTTTTCTATCACCCCCACTCTAAAAATATCAAAGGTCGTGTCCAACTGGGACAACCCTCCTACGTGAGGGAAACAATCTGATCCGACGTTTCCTCGCTTTCAAGTTCTAAGAGGAGTAAGAGCACCATGTACTGCATAATATTAGCGTGACTGCAAGGCTCTCACCTGCGTAAGAATAACCGTTCTTGTTTTCTTGGCCTATATGGAAAATGGATCGAAAACTGAAGAAGTCAGCGCGATAATACAGCTGAACACCGAAATCAAGCGCTGTATAATTCAACGCGCGGAAGACAGGATCTGTAATGTAAGTTTCTCACTACAGGCTTGTACAAGTACAAAACAACCATAACACATCCATAAATAACTCATTAATCACTTCGATAAGTAAGAAACATAAAGCAAGACACGCTGATAAAGCATGAACAGTGTGACCTAACCCTGAGATGCTCCGGGATACTGTCACCTTTTTGCAATGCACGCTGCTCAGAAGAATCCCTCGTCTGTTTACTACGGACTATATAACATCGCTGTGCCCCACCCAGCACACATTCGAGGTTACTTGTTTTCTTTATTTCTCCCCAGGAATTCCGGGGTGAATATACTCCGTTGTGAATACCTTTTTGGATTGTTATTCTCTTGGGGTTGGATGTTGCGGGAACCTGAGTTCATGTTTCACTGCTGCATCGCGTGATGTGCAGAATACGTACAACATGCTTTTTTGTGAGGAAGAGGAGCACGCTATAATACAATAATGAACATGTGAGAGCAGAGGAGCACGTCATATTATTTGCTTAGCGAATACTCTTCCAAGTTTATAGTGATGATAATGCGCAGTTATGTGGATCTTTGAAATTTGATTCCGAAGCCTTTCCCCAAATTGAAGAAAAATGAAAACGTTCCTCCCTTGTCTAAAAAAGATTGGAATAATTTTGATCAACTTGAAATTGTTCTACGGTTAATCAAAAATTCCAGCGATGACCATCATCCTTGAATAAAAGTACGCTTCAGCCGACACCGTATTAATAGGAGCCTCGCAATTTCAAATGATCGGAAATTCCAAATATTTTGTCATCTCTATTAGTTTGGTTCATCCCAGACTATTCTATACATAACAAAATATATTTCTGAGTCTGATTAATAGTGAAAATAAAAATGAGCCCAAAAATATTCAAAATTTTCACAAGAAATTACATAACAGTAATCACCATTTACTGGCTGCGCGCCATCAATGAACATACATTTTCGAATTACAGAAAATTGCCATCATTTCGTGATTTCTACCGCGTTTTTATTGATCGTCTCGGTCTGTCCGAAAAAGTAAATTATTAAAACAGCTGACGAAAATTCAATTATTTGTACAGAACAGTACAGTATTTCAGAATGACGCGCACCCATCCTTGTTCACGATGAAAAGAAAAATTTGAGAGGAGAAATTAAAATAAGTAAATAAATTCTCATTCCAGTTTTATCTTCTTCCGAATAGCTAGACACATTTTTATTCCTTCGCTGGATCGCGACCGTTTTCATGCATATATATATACTGTACTACGTTTGTTCCGTCCACGGGTTTTCCTTTTTTTTGACGGTGGGATTGAATTTTGTTTAGACAAAGACCCCGAAAACATACTGATCCATCTCCTTTCAATATGACCTGTCTCCTCAACCAGATACCCGCCATAGGGTTGTGTAACCTAGGGCCTCCATCCGGCATTCGAACCATCAGGCGCAAGAGCAGAGCCATGGGATTATTTGCATTATTCCGTCACCCAGGCACAGATACAATACTAACCAAGGCTAAAATATTTTGCCAAGGGTGGAACCACGGATTTCAGCACAAATAAATTACACCCACCCCTCTTTCCAGGTTACTGTGGTATAGTGTGGTGTCACGAACAAATACAGTACGAACCTGACTCATTCCAGATCAAGTCTAAGGCTGTGGAGTACATGTGAAGTCCATTAACCGAGCAATTAGAGGACACGTAAAATCTCCGAATGGGTTCTTTAAAAACACTAAAACGAGTGACGTGAAGCTCTTCGATGCAATGACCTTACACCCTAATCCCCGATTCCTCAGATATTTAAGTTTGAACATTTTAAAAACATATGACCGGTGTCTCGAATAAAAAAACTGACCCATTCCAGAGAAGTTCAACGCATGAAAAGTCCATCACATGCACAAATCCGATCCAGATTCCTCGGATATATCTTTAAAAGAATATAAAATACAGTAATATATATACTGTACTTAACTAAATGAATCTGCAGCATGCCCAGCATTAAAAAAAACCGAAACATGAAAAATGGGTAATATAATGACATGCTTTCAAGCAGTGCTGCAAAACATATGACCTGCGGGCCAGATCTGGCCTGCAGAGAGTCTTCACCTGTCCCGCAGTTCCTTCCTTAAAATATTCAAGGTGTCAGGCTACGATTCAAAAGGTATACGTAAATTGAAAAATAAATTTAAAAATTCAAAATGTTGCTTCGCCCTTCACATTCTACAACACTATGCCTTTGATTCAATACATAGCACTGAATTAAATTAGAAAATTTCTATTTTGAAGAGGAAATTTCGGTAAGTCAAAAATTATCGTCCATCGTGGTCTGTGTAACGACTTTCTGATGCCTCCCCAATACGGCCCTTGGTCACAAAAAAGTATCAATATGGGCCTCAGTCATTTTTAAGTTGGGCAGCACACTGTTTTACAGCAAAAATAATTCGCTTTTCAATATTTGATGTATTTGAAAAAGCTCCTGAAAGAACTTCAATATTTTAATCCACGATTCTATTTTTTGCAGCCGTTTTTACAAAGCATGTTTATCCAAGAACAAAATTTGGTAATTGGCCAGTGGAGCAAAAAGTCCATCGTTATATGAGGCGTCAGTAATCAATAAGGGTACCACAACTACCACTGATGTATAAGTCAGAACTTTTTCTCCCATGCATCGCAGACAGCATAAATACGTGACTTCGAAATGCTTCGACAATTTCGGAGACTTCGAGAACCTCGTATTCCAAGAAATTACTATCAATAAAAGCACGCTTGCAAATAATACATAAAACGAAAAGTAATTCAGAAACGAGAAAAAAATGTCAACGCAATCGAAGATACCAAAGAAGCGTTTATTTACTCAAAAAAGTAGGCTGTAAGCAATGTTTCCCTTAGCAAATTCAAATTTCGGATGGATACCAACTTAGGCAAAAATCTGGGTCAGATCGATTGATTGTGCTCTATTTCTTTCGGAACCATTGGATTTTCATAATATTACTTGAACAGAACCAGGATCATCTCAGGTTCACCACCATGCACTTTTCAAGATAATCTAGCATTGCTTCAGCGATTTTTGTGGTTTTGAAGGATTGTTTCAAACCCAGAATTACCAATCGAACGGCAAAGCAGATAAAATCCTATACGCAAGAAATATCACAAAATGGGCTAGGACACTTCAGTCGAACAATATCAGATGCACGGACATGACACGAATACTGTATTCAATATACCGGCGATAAACGTTGAAGTAAAATTCGAATGGATGCATGACAAACGAACGAACACCTAAAATTTCACTTGATCACCTGAAAAACAAAAACGAAGAACACTGATGACACAGCAAAAACAAGATCAGAATTCGACCGACGAATAATTGAAGAGGATTCTGATTTAAAAAATGGTCAACACTTCTTATTCCATCGCAAGGAAAAAATATTACCAGCATTCACTCTCGTCACAGGGAAGATTCCACGAATCTTCTGCATGATCTAAAGAATCATTGGGATAAACATCACCAAAACGCTTATAATTTAGCATACGCTTGATTCAGGTACGCCTGTCAAATGCGGTAATCCCCACATAACGCCCACTTCGGCCAAATCAGAGCTAAGACTCTTGTCATTTACATCACCCCAGACAGACAGTACTGTACTGTACACTGAACCACTATCAGAGCCAGCATCAGTAGCTTTCAATGAGTGACTTGAGCTGCAACGATTCGGGGAATAAATGCTCGCAAAACTCCTTCCGTAAAATAGAAATGGCACAGGTTACAGGAATAAATTTTTCAAATAAGTATACAGTACTACATTATTTTTACAGATTTTTATGTGAATTCCTTACCAGACCTATACTGTGCAGTAAGTACAGTAATACTATTTCAGAAGGCGCTGCCATGTTTACAATCAGTCAAGCACTGGTCTACTTTGTCCTAAGTTCCGAATCACCACAAAACATGTACTATTCATGAAGGTGGGGTTAGTATTCAACTGGCCCCAGGAAATACGTACGAATTTTCGGGTGTCGATGACCGAAGTCCTGTATCTGCCTGTGCGATCCTTGAAAAGGATAACTCAGTCATTTCTTCTCTATAGAACTTCCTTATACACTATAGTTGTCCCGAGAACGTTAGGCGTATTGAGACGAATACAGTGATACAGCGAAGGGTCTTGTCCTGTCCACTCAGGACAATAAGAGTACGTTAAGTAAGGGCCCCGTACCGGAACCCTTATAGCGACATCTACCGGGCCCAATCAGAACTTCTTCCGAACATGTTCATCTCCCACCCAGACCTTGTCCTATGCGTGATCTTTATCTGGATCGGAGGAGAGGCGAAGGAGTTCCTGTCCAAACAGCGGCACTTCGATTTTGACTCTCGACGAGAACGATTGTTTTTAGTAAAGAAGAGATATCTTGAAGGAATATGTGATATCAACAGGGCTCTTGCAATCCGCATAACTCTGCTTATGTCACTATGTCGCTTCCCAGAACAGGACAGGTGAGTCCTGTTATTCTCATGCAATTGTGTGCGCGGTTGACGTTCCAGTGGAACTGCGGAGCCCTGCCTGCCGCACCGGCTTTTCTGCAACCCGGGTGCAGTAATCTCTGGGTGGCGCGTGTGCATCGTTTTTTTTTTTACCTTACAGTTATACTCGATTTGATTGTTGTTTTCGATTGCGATTATTCCTTAATCATGTTCCTTGTGTGTTTGTATCTAGACTCCCCCTTTGTTCACATTTATTTCAATCTAGTGAAGGATGAGATATTAGTCCTATTATTTCGTCGCCTCAGCTGGTACATCAGTGGTGTTGAATTGCACGATTCTGACGCTTCCTCTGGAAGTATCTTTTATTATGCAACTCAAACTGTCTCGTAAACATTTCTTCGCTTTTGTCACGATTGTGGGAGCACTTCTGTTGGATCATGGTGAGGATTTTAATGCATCTGACCAAGGATCCCGACCGTAACTATTAATCCAATGTATTTCTTTCAGGTGCACTGGCCAATTTCGCTCCCAGATTTACCGCGGACATGAACGGACATTTGATACCAGAATCGACTCCGGTTCATTCGTCTGTCTACAAACTCGAGGGAGAAGACCCAGAGAATGATCCTTTGCGATTTGGAATACTAAATTCCAATCTCTTCAGTGTGGAACCAATCACAGGAGTTGTTAGATTGTTGCGGAAACTCGACCGTGAATCTCAAATGGATCTTCGTCTGAATCTCACGCTGGTGGATTCGGAGCCGTCCAATCAGGTCGTTCAAAGTATTGTTGCTTTCGTTTTGGACGAAAATGACACTCCACCGAAAGTTTCGGGCCTACCTTACGAATTAAGAGTACCGGAAGACACCAAGAGTGGAACCGTTCTCGCGCAATTCACGGTTTTTGACGCGGATTTGGTCAATGATGGACTAAGTGTTCGATGCGAGCAGGAAACTGGAAGCTCTAGCTGTGACTTGATTACAATTGTGCAAGACAACAAATACCCAACCCTCTCTGGACAGATTATGTTGAAGGAAAGTGTGCACTTCGAAAATGGGTCCGTGTTCCCGTTTCGCCTTGTTGCCAGAGATGGAGTTCATGAAGTTCGTGAAGCCTTGACGCTCGTAGTCGAAGATGTTCAAGATAAGCCTCCAGAATTTCTGGGGTCACTATCTGGAAGTATCGCCGAGGACGCTCCACCCGGAACGAAGATCCTAACCCTCAATGCAGTCGATGGAGACAAGGGATTTCCGAGGAAAATCACATATTTCCTCTTGGACAGTGAGCTAGTTCAGCAATGCTGTTAACTAAAAATAGTTGATTTGCATGTTAATTTCAGCCAAAAACGACATGTTCCGTCTTGATCCTGATACCGGTATCTTGGAAACCGCCAAAGAACTTGACCGAGAGATTCTTGTGCCATCCGGTCTCCTCATACTTCCAGTGGCTGTGAGTAAACATTTGATGCAGTACTCCTTGGTGTAGGGATAAATTTCAAAACGATCTTCTTCTATGCATCCTTTTTCCCGATGACTTAGCACTTTGGCAAGACTGGTAAGAGGAACCAGAAAATGAGTTAGAGGAAATTGCGCGAAATGAATGGAAGGAGTCTGAAACTGAAACTCAGTATATATTAATTTTCAAATGTGTTTTGCGTTTTAAAGCCTCTGGTCGAAACTGATCAAGAAAAATTTAAGTGACTTGAAAAAACTCAACTAGGTCAGTGTTCTTCAGCTAGTAGTCAGAGTAGTTCTCGAAAGGAAAAACGATGTATTAATTACTCGCTTTGCAGTTACTGTATTTGGGTACATTACGGTATTTCGTTTCTAAATTCAACTCTTGAAGCTGTAGAGTATTTTTTTTGCTCCGTGAATGTTTAAGGATTGATGAACACGGATGTAGGTTGTGTTGTAATGCTCGAGAATTAATTGTTCTAAACCTAAGTTCGTGCAATTTTGAAGATTATGGATTTTTATATATCTGTTGTCAATGTCAGTTATTTCCATGGACATTTCTGCGAATCTTTAGACGACTGCTGATCCAACAATTCCGCCAGACGCTGAATACTTTTCGAAAACAAAATTTCCAACTGTTATTCAGGATGGTTCTCTTCTAGTCTGTATGCATTGCTCGTTTCTTTCTTTACTCCTGGTAAGGTGATGGATGAATCTTTTCTTGGTGAAATGGCAAAGGAACCAGCTTCGTTTCAGCTCTCTCAGACAACCATGGCAAAGCGTAGTTTGAACGACGTCAAAAACGTCTGTTCACGGGTGTGCGCGTCCGGGCCAGTGTCGGTTATTTCTCGGGTGCGCTGCGTCACTCAAGGCTATGAGACCAAGTGGAGGGGTTTCCCTGATTTGCATCAATTAATGGGCAATCGAAACGATGCCTCGTCTTTTAAGAATGGTGGGAAAAAGATGCTTTTTAAAATTCCTGTGTGGCGTTCCTCTATTAGCAAGCGTTTGCAAGATTCCGTCCGTCCGACAAGTGCCTTGTTACCGAGTAGTACTCCGTCGTATTCTGGTGGAAGTGGAAGATTCAAGTTTGACCCTCTGTCTGAACTTTCCCGCGTGAAAACTAATTGATGACATCAATTCGAACCGTGTTCACGTGATGCAACCACATAATTTTCGCACCAAAACCCCAAAACGCATCTTGAAATCTGTAGCGAATGGATATGAATGAATTGGCAATGCACATTGATGGCTTGGTCGAAAATGTGCGCGCACATTTTACCAGTGTCACTCTTTTTTGAGCGCTAGTTTTAAGTGTGATCGGCACAAACGTGACGATTCAATTTGGAAATGTGAGCAATCGCAATGTGCTTTTATCACAATATAGTATTATTCAATAAAGAATGTACGACTAGAAAGGAAGTCAGTTAGCATTTAATTGCTGTTCTTCGTAATTTTTTTGAAAGATAGAAATACTGTACACTCGTTGATGTTTTGAGTAATTTTTGACCACCTAGCAAAATCTGTTTTGGCATGTTTTGAAGAAATTCGAAGTACTTCACCTCTTGGATTCAACAGAAAATCCCTCTCAATTTGAGGAACTGAAGCATTGAGTGGTGTTATATATTCACGTGAACACGATTTTTACTGAGGTCTTTAACCATTTGACATGCTGCTTTCCAAACTCCGGTCGTGATACTAACCGAAAAAAAAGGTACAGAGATCGAGAGCTCCATCATTCTCAACTCGTTGTACAAACTGTGATGCATGTGCAGCGTGTTACTCCCGATTAATATCACAGAAGGTATTAAACTTGGGCATGCCAATGACAGTTGGTAACCCAGTGCATGTTTCTAGTGTATTTTGTAGAAATGATCGGTAAATATACTATCGATAGTTTAATTGAAGATCTATTTTATTCGGTGTTCTTCGCTTGGTTTCAAAAATGTTCAAGGCAAGAGAAGTAATTGACGACAACAACGATCGTGCTGAGCTCACCGAAACTGTCGCAAATGTGTCAATCACCATCCAGGATGTGAATGACGAGCCTCCACGGTTTTCTCAGAAAGAATTCCAAGCTCGAATTCCTGAGAATGCGGCTCTTGGCACGCCACTCGTCGGGCTGGATATCCGTGTGTCGGACTCAGATAATGTACAAGATTGGGCTGATTTTTTAATTCATCTATCAAAATTCCTAATCGTTTCTTGCTTGAAGGGCCCGCATTCCATGTTCAATTTGGAACTCCGAGACCCCAGCGGATTTTTCTCTCTGGAACCATCACGAGGCGCTGGTGAGATCTCGTCACAATTCATTGAACTACTAGTTCATGTTAGAAAGTCTTATTAAACCGCTAAATTTTTTCTACATTTTTGGCATTTGAATCAAATACAATATTCAAATCATGAATGTCCGGTAGAATTATACGTAGCAGCTCGTGACAAATTTAACGAAGTTCGAAAACAAGTTCCGTCGATGATGGCTCAAGTCAGCCATCATCGACGTTAGACATTATATTACATTGGACATTACGTTAGAATCGAATGTGTTGGACATCCACATTAGATTTGTTCATCGAATTATTAACTTCATGATGTCCATCAATGATAGTGTTTTGCGATTTATCTTCGAAATCATCTAATACAGTATCTGCCTTGATGACGGTCGACGTGATTAATTAAGATAAACACTGACAGCAACGTTCAAGAAACAAACTCAGAAAGTAAAGTAAGAGTATCGGGTTACTAGGCTTCTAATTTATCATCAAGTGGATGAAGTGCAATTTTTCTTGGAACAATTTATGAAGAAAATTTTTTTTTTTCGAAGATACCTACTGCGAAAATTGTAAATGTTTTCGTACATTTCTGATGTCTTCGTCCCACAGTCATATACGAACGAGTACCGAAGCGAAGTTAATCGAAGCAATGTCACAAAGATAACGTTGATTTTATGATCGAATTTTATTCTATTTTTTATCCGGATCCTTCGGTCTTCAGTCACGCTCACTTTTTATGCTTGGATGGGTTGAGAATGAGAATAAACGTAAACCTCATTCTACGTCAGTTACTTTTCAAAAGTTTTGGGATGAGTGCTATAGAAATTGTGGTCTGTTTTTAAATGTACTGCATTCCCTTTTTTGTGTTGAACAAGTTCTTATCCAGAATTGTGTGGAAGTACTGGAGGAATGTGTGCGATTCTTTAATAAAAGCTAAAATCTCCTGTTTTCTGCATTTCAGGATCAGTGGCTGCGTCAATTCGTTTGATGAAAACCCCGTTGGATTACGAAGATCCAAACCAGAGGAAGTTTGTCCTCATCCTTACAGCACGGGAAAACGGAACACAGCAGCTCTTGTCTTCCACTGCTTCCGTGATTGTTTCCGTCATCGACGTGAATGACAACCGCCCCGTTTTCTCGAGTTCTATGTACACCGCTACAATTTCCGAATCTGCCGTGGGTGGAACAACTGTAACGACCGTGGCAGCGACTGACTCAGATTCTGGAGACTTTGGTGTCCAGTCGCTGCGATATTCTCTGTCAGGAATCGGCGCCGAATTGTTTAGCATCGACGAAGCGACAGGAACGATTGTTGTTGCTCAGTGTTCTTCGCCTGGAGTAGAACCGTGTGCTGATTTTGAAACGAGATCCAACTATTTTCTTCACGTGCAAGCTGCTGATGAGTCCGGACGCGGGTTCAAAGCTTTTGCGTCCTTGAAAATTGCTTTGGCTGATAGCAACGACAACCCGCCGATTTTTGAAAAGCGGAAATATGAGGCCAGAATCCGTGAAGGAGAAAAACAGTTTTGGTAAGAATACAAAATTCTTGTTGTGCATTCCCTGGAAGCAAGTCAAGTACTGTATCTGGAATCGATTCCTAAGGATAGGGTTAAATCCAATACGAGTTTTGTGTAGGCGCAGTAATTTTATGCTTCAAGGGAAAATTGACGCCGAATTTCAAGAGTTCATGCGTCAAATTTACTTGCGTGTGTGATAGTCACTGTTAAGCTTGTTTTCGCATACCGCTAATTGCATAATTTGTTATTGTGCATCTATATGTATCATGATGGCTTTCCTGTTCACCTGATTATTCGAGTGATTATCAATATTCGTGATATTTTAGGCCAAGCATGCTGGTGAAAGCGACCGACGCGGATGTAACCAGCGAAGTGATTTATTCGCTGAAATCAATTGGAGCTGATGTTGACGACGAAGGATCCGGTTTGAACATTTTCACGGTGAACGAAAGAACTGGCAAGATAACCGTCGTGAATCAAACTTCGGGGGCAGTACTGCCAAGCCACATGAGAGGACACAAGGTATTTCTCGTTTTAAGTGCAACAGACGGGATTCATAAAGACTCTTGTGAAGTGGAAATCGTGATTGAAGACACCAACAACAACGAACCGGTATTTTCTTTGAGTCGGTACGAGGTTACGCTACCAGAAGGCACTAAAGTAGGTGAGCTCTCGTTTGCTATTTGTCGTTTCATGATTATTTTTACGTATAAAATTAATTGTGGAAATGTTTATTGCTGTATCAGGAGAAAATATAATTGCGACATTAGCGGAAGATGCTGATGTTGGAAACAATGCCGCAATTCAATATCGTCTTCATTCTGGCGCCTTCGGGGATTTTGAAATTAATCCTGAGTCTGGAGTGGTTACACTTGTGAAGAAGTTGAATTTTGAAAGGCATCCGGAGTACAATATGGTGATCCTTGCGGTTGATCAAGGTAAGACTGTTTTTCTGCTATTTTATAAATAGTTTTGTGCTGAACGTTTTCCATTCATGTTATGGACTAGGTACTCATCCGTTGACTGGAACAGCGACTCTGGTAGTTGAAGTGATCAGTAATACGCAAGTGTTACCAGTTTTTTATCCCATGGTGCAGAGGTTTTCCGTCCACGAGGATATTGAGCAAAGTAAGCTACGATTTTTCCCTGGTTATGTAGTTAGACGAAATTGACAGGCGCGCTTTCATTCTGCAGATGAAGTTTTCGCGAAGATTAATACCACTGGTGGAGAAAATGGAAATTGGGAGTTCAGGCTGGTGGAAGGAAAGACTGATGTGCTTTTGAAAGACGGTCAGAAAGTTTCCCAGAAAAGTGTGCCTTTTGCCGTGGATCCTCAGACTGGGAGTTTGAAGGTTATGAGCGCATTGAACAGAGACAGCGCAGCGTTTTATTCAATACCGATTGACATCGTACCGAAGAACTTATCTATACCGTTCACGCCGATCCAAGGTGAGTATTTTATTTTTCATCTCTGATATAAACATTTTCCAAAGCGACGATTTTTACAAATTTGCGTTTCAGGAATAATTGAGGTTACGGTGGTTGATGTGAATGACGATCCCCCGGTTTTTATTGATGACGATGGCACTGGGGAATACAAGATGAAAGTGCAGGAGGGGCTTCCGTCTGGAACATTGTTGAGACGATTCTTGGCTGTTGATAGGGATTCGGCTATTTCGCATTACACGCTTCGTCTGCCTCCAAACTCACCCGAGTATTTTGTTGTTGACGAAAAGTCAGGCAAGTTTTCCTCCTGCATTACTTACTTTTTATCCTTTTTATTGGGTGTCAAAAAAAAACCGAGCTGTGGCAAAGTCGGTATTTTCGTAGGGTTTCAAATCTTATATTGGTATGCTGGCGGGAATTAATCGAATGCGACTTCGAGATCATATAAGGGCGTGAAGCTGAAAGTGTGCAAAACCATCTATCAAATCCTTATGATACTGTATTATTGAAATTTCTCGTGAAACCCAAGTAGCCCTTTTAGTTAGCTGAAAACATTTTTCTGCACTCACAAGGGCCCAAAAGTCAGATTGAAGGAAATGAAGATCAAATAAGTTTGAATCAAATTGAAATATTTGCAATGTATTGTGGTACATTTTTTGACTCCACATGCCAGCATGATTATATTGCAGGTTAACTTCTTATGCTGGACATTCAATTTATTTATTATTCTTTCAAATATGAAATGAGATTGCGACTGACTAATTTTTTGAACGAGTGTCTACTCTTCACAGGCCAGTTAATGACTGGGTCGTCCGAACTCGATTTCGAGACAACGGAAGAAGTGGAATTTGAGCTTGAAGTTTTTGACTCTGGCATGCCACAACTCTCCGCTACACTAAAAGTACTCGTGGAGCTTTTGAATGTGAACGACGAGTCTCCTGTCTTTTCACTCGTAAGTTGCTGTTGAAAACCTTGTTGATAATTCGTTTAAATGCTGAATTCTAATTGATTGTATGGTGCCGCTGTTTTTTAGGCGAAGTATGAAGTCGAAATAAAAGAGAACGCAGGTCGCAGCTCTCCCGTGGCCATGGTTGAAGCCACAGACAAGGACAAAGGAGAGTTTGGTGTAGTCGCATATGGACTTTCTGGTTGGTTTGCAAATGACTATTTTATGTGTCTCTTACGATGTGCGGTATGTCTCATGTTTTGAACAGGTGATCTGGCGAGAGATTTTCAGATTGATGGGAGTGGAACTATCACCGTGGTCAATGCTGCTTTACTTGACCGTGAAGTGTCCTCCACTTTAACGGTTTATGCCACTGCAACGGACGGTAAAAACGTTGCCACTGTACCAGTGAGTGTTACCTTTCTTTGGGAATCCCTCAGCATTTTTCTTCAAAATTTCTCTTGTATTTTTCAAGGTGATTCTCACATTGCTGGACGACAATGACAACCCTCCCGTGTTCGATCGTCGAGAATACGAAGTAACTGTTGAAGACCGAGTTTCCGTGGAGTCTCCGGCGGTGCTCATTCGTGTGCAAGCCTCTGACCCTGATGAAGGCCTTGGGGGCTCATTACTGTACTCGATTGTCAGTGGCAACACCGACGATGCCTTCCAGTTGGACCCCATTAAAGGATTTTTGCGGGCGTCCGGAAAGCATCCGTTATGGAACTTGCCCTCAAAACCTGAAATCGTCGAGCTTAAGGTACACTTTGATGAATCATTAAGAAGTGCGTTTAACCTAGAGAATAACTAGGTCACGTGGTGCAGTGTGGTCGTTTACCTAATTTAATGAGCTCTCTTCATGAAAAACGTATAAATTAGGTACTGTATTCAGCGGATGTTGGGTAATGTGAGAAACATTATTTCGGTCTGTGTGCTGTTGAGAATAAGATAATTAACTGCGTGTCCTCATTTGACTCGTTGACAATTCTTACCTTATGATGAATCGAGAAACTATAGCTTGCGGTTGTGAATTTCGGGGATTTCAGGCCGTAAAGGCTGAAAGTCCTTTTATTTTCAATTGCTGCTCATGTGCCGGAAAAAACTTGAAAATCGTTTAGACGTATTGCATTTCTGGACATCATATTAAGCTGCTTTTCTGCTTTGTCCCCAACATAATATTTTTATTTCTCACCCATCTGTGCAATTTTCGTGTTTCACCTTGTTTTTGTTCAAACGCGAAGATCTGCTTCCATTTTTATTAATCATCATTATTATTTACCTAGTTGAGTGTTTCGTATTTGTATTATTTTAGGTCCGTGTGAGAGATGGAGCTGGTCATGGCCCATTCTTTGACGAAACCATTGTCCGCCTCCATTTGCGGAAATCCAACCGCTACCGCCCAGTCTTCGTTAGACCAACAACACCCAATCTAGTGATCCGCCTGACGGAAAATGAGGCAGCTCGAACACTTTATATGTTTTTGGCAGAAGACGCCGATGGCAATGATACCCGGAATGGTCTAGTGTCGTACCACTTGAAAACTGGGAGTGAAAATGTGCAAGAGGTTGGCCCATTCTTCATGGTTGAATCAACGGGGGAGCTATCGTTAGAAAGGAGCTTGGATAGAGAAGCCGAGTCAGAATTCAAATTGATCGTCGTGGCCCAAGATGGCGGCGGACCTTTGCCACTGGAAACATTGCTGCCTGTTTCTGTGATTGTTGAAGACGTGAATGACAACGACCCGGTTTTCGAACCGAATTCGCTGGAGTTGGAAGGAAATAACGATTATTTGACGCATTTGTTTGAAGTTTCGGAAGGGGCTGCCATCGGAACCATCGTTGGTAAGCCTCTCCATTTTAGCAGTTTCAGGGCTGCGACGTCGTTCTCTTTGGAGCGTAAAAAGCTTCAAGACTCTTTATTCTTTCCCAGGGGTTTTGGAAGCCGAAGACGCGGACGAAGGGAAAAACGCGCGGATATTCTATCATTTGGTTGCCAGAGATTCGGCGAAGAAGAAGAAATTTGCGGTGGATCTGATTCGTGGGGAGATAGTTTGTCTGAAGGCATTGGACAGAGAAGAAAAGAGCGAGTATGAAATGGTTGTTCTTGCTTCGAACTCGCCCGAGTTTCCTGCCATGTGGCGCAACTTGACGTATGGTGATATTTTTAATGACACGAAAAATCACAGCCCATCGTTGGCGTTTGTGAGGATTAATATCTTGGATCTCAACGACAACGCGCCGAAATTCGCCAAGAAGATGTATTATGCTGGTGAGTTCTAGACACAACTAAGAATACAATCCGTTTTCTAAGTACACTACCGGTATATCCAGATTATTTTCAGTTTTTATTTGTTTGCAAGCGGCTATTCTTGAACTGCACAGGAGAAAATCAGTGGCTGTGAATTGAGAATCAGTTGCTAATCACTATTTTTCATTCTGTGTTGAATACATGATTAATTTTATTTTGTGGCAAGTTATTTCTTCGTGTCTAATTACCGTAATTATGAGTTTCGAGCAACGCATCATGAATATACTTTCACTGCGAAAAGAAGAAATTTCATACTACCCATACCAATTTTTATCGGCAATTAATTTTTTATTGTATTCTGAAGCTCCTTTTGTCAGAGTAGTTCACTTCTGTGTAGTTTACCCGGCTCAGCATCAAAATTCGCTATTCTGCGAACTTTTTTTCAATTCGTTGGAAGATTTGTACAGTAATTTTTTTCGGAATTCTGATCTATTGCTCCTTGGAGATAGTTCAGCTTCAGTTTTGCATGCTGTTTTATGAAGCGTATGTCCGATTTTTCTAAAGCAATCCCAACGAAGGCGGGAGTCGGTTACTCCTTCATGAAGTTGAAAGCTCGTGATCCCGACTTCGGCATCAACGGAACTGTGACTTACCGCATCAGTTCATCGAATCTACACCGCGTCGGTTCCAACGACTCTCTTGGATCCGTAGTTCCGTCGCCTTTTGCAATCAATTCCGTGACAGGGGAACTTTCCACGAGCATTTTGGTTGAAGAATTTAGAGCGGACTGGTTTCTCCTTGAAATTGCCGCAAAAGAAATTGCTGAACCTTTCCGAGTAGCCACGTGCTTTGTTGAAGTGTGGTTTCACAAGGAAGAGCAAGTTATTCGTGTTGTGATGGCGAAGGCGCCTGAAGAAGTGGCCACTGAGGAAGTGCAAGGTGGGGTTGTCGGGGAATTGAGTCGGCTGAGTGGGGCTCAGCTCGTTCCTGCGGGCTTGAGGCATCATATTGACCAGTATAATCATCTTCAGCCATCCTGGTGTGTATATTCTTTGCATCGCTGGGATTTCTTCGTTTTGTGGTAAAAAGGGTCTTTCAAACTTCGTCATTCTTCAATCTAAAGTTTCTTCAGCGTTTATTCGCTTGTCCTGGTTCTATATTTCTCCAAAAATCTGTGATCGGAACTGGGAAACTTCATTGTTTGGAACACTGATGATGCACTGCCAAATCAAAGGTCAAGGGACCAGCAAACAGATTTTAATTCGGGTGGGTTCGATTTACGGGAACGAGCATTTTTGTTAGGGGCAAGAAAGAAGAACTGCAGGAAATTGATATCATGGGCCTTGAGATGCTTCTTGAATGAGTTGACATGATGCTGAAGTTGGAGGCGAGGGATCATTGTCCCAATTAGTTATTCACTTCCTTTCAAAATGCCTCAGGTTGAATTTTTATTGCTTTTCTCTTTCCTGTGCCAGTAAAATGATAGCCAAAAGACATGAGAAAATTTGAGTTCGACGGGGAAGGCCTTCGATTCAAAGAGGTTTATAATGCATTGTCTCTGGGGGAATAGAGACAGGGACTTGGAAGAATTTTGACTTACGGAGGGTCGAGTCATCGAGGTTCATCTGTATAATGTAATTATTTTTTTTTATAAAAAAATTATTTTCAGGTTGTGTAGAAACAGCGGGGGAATAATCGATGCTGATCTTTACCTGAAACCGCAATCCTTCTGAGGAGAATAATGTAGGTCAGGAAAAGACTCGCACCGAACCAGCGACACGTGACGGATTAGATGCAGTACTTGCAATATTTTTCACAGAAATCGAATGTAGTCGTCTCATTTCATTCAATCAACGAAATTTCGACATCCCTCTTTCTCAGGACGGACTTGGCAGTGATAGCAGTTCATCCACAAAAACGTGTCTTAATGGATGTCTCGGAAATACTTTTTGCTGTCGACACAAATTACGATTTCTTGAGGCAGCACTACCAAGATTACAGCATCGAAAATGTCGTGGTAAGCTGTCGTTGATTTATTTTTCCTTCAATGAATATTCGTGTAGTGTATAATCGGCTTGTATTTTTCTGAGATTAGTATAATTCCGATTAGCCAGACTCAAATTAAATGGGTATTTGAACCGTTCTAAACTTCCAAATTGAAAAAAAGCGATGAAGTTGTCTGTATCCTATAATTTTAATGAAACTCTTTTTTTCCTCATGGTCCACTATTGAATCTGGACTTGATGGGTTTGTAGATTTTTGTAAATGTCGTTGATACAGTCCAGTATTGTTTCACGTCACAATATTTTTTCCTGACAATGATTTGTTGAAAAAAAGTTCGCTCGATATTTAATTATTTGTGATATTTTATTTGAGCAAAAATACTGATTACCCCGGATAATCGGAGTTATACGATAATTGAACATTATTTATGTGCTTATGTGGTTTGTCTTTCTCGTTATAGCCTGCTGTGGAGCCGGTAAAAACGAGTATGGAAGAGCTGAAGCCGATGGAAATTCTTTTGATTGCTCTCGTTTTAGTTTTGATTATTGGCTTGATAACGGCTATCTCAGTTTGCTGTTGCCTCAAGCACTGGTAAGCGTGTTATTATGGTTTATCCGATTTAACATTCCTCATTTATTCAATCGGGGCTTCATTAGCTGGATTGATTTATCTTTTATTTTTAATTGCGTTAATAAAAAGTGAATTTTCAAGTTACATTACGAGTTAGCCGAGTGTTAAAATGTATTTTCTCAACAGGGTTCCGAAGCCATCCAAGGAATACAGTGACAAAGTTGGCATTATCCCACCGCTCCCAGAGCCAGAAAATGGAACCACGAATCCTTTGTGGCTTGGTAGTAACGCAACATTACCAATGAGCCCCAGTAAGATCTACGAAGAACAGGAGTTGACCATGCAAGTTAGCCCTGGTCAAGATCCTAATTTACATAACAACCACGCGCCATCTCCAGTAAGACATTTTTTTAATAATTCATTCACCTCATTTTAACAATATATTCGTTTTTGTTTCTCTTCAGACCGATGTACACAGCAATGTGTATGCTGCCATTGAAGCAGACGGGGACGTTTCGAGAGATAACGGAGATACAAGGGATTCCAGCACGAACCCAGAAGACACAATGTACTTGGGAGAGTATGCCACTTTGAGGAATAGCCCGCCAATACCTTGGCAGGGACCAAGAATACCCGGCATGGGCAGTGTACGTATAATTTATTTCCCTATCAATTTTTTTTACTCAATTCCGTACGAACTGACTGGGATTTTCGTTGTAACTTTGCATGCTTTTTATGTTCTGTTATTTCCTTATCCTAATTTCTATGATATGTTTGATCAGGTTGGTGATTCACGGGGCTTTTTTCTAGACATTCAGGCGAGGAAGGTTAGGTCATTGAATTTCAAATAATGTGAATTTTGATAAGGATGCGATCATTTTTTTCTTGCGCTAGATATGGTCTCTCTTGGTATGCTGTTGTAGTCTTGAAATGAAGTTCTTTGCAGTATTTGAATTTGGTTTGGTAACGTGATTTTCGATTTATTTATTGTTTTGCAGACGTTTCCGTACGAAGATATGCCTTCGTGGGTCGACAGGAGCTTCAACGGACCGATGGGTCGGAACGGTAACAGTGACCCACCAGTCATTGTGGGAGAACTTCTTGATTGATGGTAATTTTCGAAAATGACGAATCCCCATCGTGACTAATAGCAAAAATGAAGAGAAAAAAGTTACTTGCCTCAGTAAGAAATATTGCTTGCGTGAGTTTGCTGAGCATGGATTGTTTATGATTTTCACTTCGTGATGAATGTTGAGTCTCTGTAATGATTTTTTTTCCTTCGTTGTCGTTTTCTGGATATATTTTGCGTTGTGCGTGATTCGTTGAGGATTCGGAATGATCCGTCCGTTGTTTGATATTTGTTGGATATTTTGATGGATTACCGAGGACGAAATATTTGCTTTCCACTGCCGAGATAAGTACGAAAAAGTATTTACCATTTGCGTCATATCCAAATGTGGGCTGAATTGATCTTTGAAATTATGACGAGGCCTTAGTAGATCAGGAATTTGCCAAAAATGGAAGTTATGCTTGATCGCATCCGTCCGTTGAATGAGATCCCCTTTGTGAGTATAATGTCTCCTGAAACGACCAATGGTGAGAGATTTGAAGGTACTAAGTTTGTTTTTCGTGAACCGATGAGTACAGGCCGTGGTTCCTCTTCCAAAGCTGTGACTTTTGTCTTCCAAATATTTATTGTGAATATTTTTGATGCTGCGAACCGGGTCAATTGTTGGCAGCTACATTTCTAAAATGTGAGAATTATACTCGAATTACCAACTCAATTATGCAGTCATATTTTGTTTTGCTTTGTGGATTAACTTGTTGAATTTTGACGCTTGATGCTGTATTTCTAATGCAGATCCTAGCGATAGAAATAGAGCCTCAAGTTTTGATCGACAACCGTACTTTGAGAATGTTCAAGTCCGTGTTTTCTGGTGGATTCCGACTGCTCGGGGTGCGTCACATGTCAACGCCGTCTCGCTTAGAGAAATGTGAGCAGACGTCAAAGACTATTGGTTTCGACAATTCATAATTTTTACATTTTTTATCAGGTTTAAACAGCGTCACACTCATGGGAAGAACTGGTGCTGCTCCGCAAATGCGAGGGTCTGATGCTCATCCAGTTGTGAACTTTAGTCTTGCGACGCACAATTTTCAGAAATTGGAATCCGGTACGTAGTGTTTGTTGCAGAAACTAATACTGTAATTGGAATCAACATAGTGTATTATTCGTGTCACACCTACTTTGCGATAGCCATGATCTTTTAGTGATACAGAGGGACTCTTTGTACAACGAAATTCTTTCTGTAAAGAATTTTCTAGGAAAATTTGTTAGCCCCTTGATTTTTGTTGTAGATAACCCTTAGGGTAGGGGCACAACCAAAAATTCATTATGTAGAGAAAATCATTGTATCTCGGTAATTTCCAAAGAAGTTTCGAAATAATTGTCTCTCAAGTCTTCAGTTTCATGTTCATTTTGTACAGTATAAAAGAACTTCGAGTCCGTCATGCTCACAGTTTGAACATTGTTCTACCCTCTTATTTACAATGCTATTCTCTGGTAGTTGAGGTGTGATGCAGAGTCGGTGCCTTTCGATTTTTCTACTGTATTTTCGTCATGTTTTTCGCTCCTAATTTTTTTTTCGGCCTGAGAAAAAATTCCTAGATTTTGTTGTATGGTGGACCGGGGAATTTTCCTACATAAAATGTGTCGACATCTTTTTCAAAAAAAGTATTCTTTTTTGCAGGAGATACGCAACAAAAAACCGAATGGCATCGCGTTGCAGTTTTCAGGCCGCATTTGCGAGATCTCGTTCATCGCTACTTGGGGAAAGGCCAGAGAGTGTTGGTGCAAGGTCGCCTCATGTACGGAGAAATTACGGATGCTCAGGGTGTACAACGACAAACAACAACGATCGTCGCGGACGAAGTCATTTTCCTTACCAAAACGGAAGGAGATAAGGCAGAGGACTACATGGAAGCCTGATGAAACTCGTGCTGGAATCTTGCCGAACTGTGGTCGAAAAGTTTTTTTTGCTTTTGTTACAAGTTGATATTTAGGGCCTGAATTTTTTCCACGTCACGGTTTTCTGACCCTCGAAATTTTCTCCATTTTATGCAGGTTCGTGAGTGAAAATGACCTCGAAATCAGTGCGAATGTTCGTCGGGAATATTCCTTGGACGGTTTGTCATAGTAAGTTTTCATCAACACAAGTGCCCCTTTTTCAACCCGAAAATGATGAAAACTAACGTCAAATCGTTGCTGTATTTTTCAGACGAGCTGCGCGAGTATTTTTCCAAGTTTGCCAAAGTTCATTTTTGCCGCGTTTCTTTTGTGAGTAAATTGTTTTCAATTCACATCGGCGTATTCAACTTGCTATGAAACGTTTCGCAGGACAAAGAAACAGGTCTTGGAAGGGGTTTCGGTTTCGTAACCGTCGATTCTGCGGGATTTGAGAATATCCGGAGGCAGCAGAATCATTTCTTGGAAGGAAATCACGTAAGATTCTGTTTTGTTCAAGTTTTTTCTGAGCATGTGTTGCGAGAACTTTTTTTTTTTTCGATTGAAAAGATGACTTCATAAAAATCTGTCTCTTTTTTTTGCAGATAAACATCCAAACGGCATCGAAGACTGTTTGAAGTGGAAGTGCTTTGTTAGTTTTTGTTAGTGCAATATTATGTTTCTGTTTTGAATACTGAATAAAAAAAAACTTGAAGTGATTCATCTTATGACGCTTGAATGCATTTTCGCTCGAAATTGCGAAGATTTTGATCTCTTGTTGATGTGATTAAATCGGCAATTAGGTTGTAATCTGATCGTTTTTTGCGTTTAACAGTCATTTCACTTTGAATGACTGTTGAGTTTTCAATTGAATTTTTCCACCTCTTAATATATTTATCTGATTTTTTTGAAAGCAACACGTGTGAAGCGCTGGATTCTTCTGGTACAAATATTCGTAGCCAATTGAAGTTACTGTGTTAATATCTCAATTACAGCGCATGTGCTAAAGATGGGCTTTGAGCATGATCTATAAAAGCAAACAAACTGGTTTTTGTCCTGTTTAAAAGAGCGTGGCAAGTAAGCTTTTGAGGAACTGTTTTAAAGGTACATGGTTGTCTGAATATCGCAGTCAACAAGAAAAAAAAACCGTTCATTCAAGAATTTTAAAATATATAGCGACTCCGGCACACTTCATGTCCACGCATATCGATGTGGAGTACGTCTTGCAATTTTTCTTGACAGTTCGATAGGCTCCAAGTTTTGCAAATTAGCTTGAATGAAGTAGGGCTTTAATTTTTAGTTAAACCTATTCTCACCAAAAATTGGCAATTTTGTAATGAGAGATACAAGGTTCGCAAATTCGATGTTACATGGATTGCTTCTTATCAGTCGGCGTTTCTCTTTCATTTGAAGTTCGAACCTACATTTTTTTACAGACTGCCGTGAACACCCAAAAAATGGGTATCTACGTGTTACTCGAAGCAATAGTGCTAATACTGAACGGAATAGCAGTGCTAAATGAAGAGCGATTCCTGTCGAAATTGGGTTATCTGCAGGCACCCAGTCAAGGGTTTGGAGACGAACCTGGAATCAAAGGCCAAGTGCTCAACCTGATACGTTCCATTCGCACAGTGATGCGAGTGCCACTGATCTTTATTAATATTGTATGCATATGTGTGCGAATGGTTTTAGGATGACCGTATTGTGATTAAACGGAACCAAACATTTTTCGTCGGCCTTTTTTGTGTACAAGATTTTTATCAGTGGTTCCTGGGGATTTTTTCCGTTAAAAAAAAAAAAAACCACCGCGGTTCATGGGTGTAGCACAACAAACGAAGCGCATTGGATCAATTATCGAAATTCGAAGGAGCCTCTGTTATCAGTGCTAATGATTGGGATGCTTTCACGCAGATGATAGATCAATGAAAAATTGCGTTACTTCAATTGTAAAGTCAAAGCGTGTGCAATATTGCGTCAATTTCCTTGGCATGGTTCAACTCCATGCTGAAGGTGGACTTGAATAGGAAGGTTTTCGCTTCTAAAGTTTTGAACGTATGCCTCCCAAATGTTTCAAGCTTCCAAGTTTATAAGACCATTTCTGAACAAAATTCATTAATATATTCCAAAATTATTTCCGCTGATTTGAAAAATTGCTTCGGCAAAAGTTGTCCGGTGCTTGCCTCTGGAAAAAATATCTACAACTCTGCCTGGCATTTGCATGCATCCAATTAATGAAGAGTCGGCAGTAAGAAAAACGGTTTATTTTGCTGAGTAACATTTCGGAGTTGGCTGAGAATTTCTATTCTCGTTGATGACTCATGTTTCAAGAATTTCTTTGAATGAAAAAATTAGGCTAGAGGATTTTCTGTTTATTTTTTGGGGGGAAATCTGTAATGAAGCAAGGATAATAGAGGCTCTATTTATTAGTCCCTTTCAATTTCTAAGCCTTTTACGGAAAAAAATCCCCGTCTTCTTTTCAAGATGAATGCTTTGCGTCTTGTGTTTTGAATACCTTGCTTTATTTCAGATCTTTCTTGTGGATTCGCTAGGTTCATGGTGAAATCATGGACAGTGATACGGATGTAAATGATGCTTTCGATTCAATAGTTCTGACGGAAGATCGTGCTGCGGAACGCGGGTATAAAACTGGTTACGTAGACGGCAAAGAAGCAGGCGAAGAAGAAGGCTTGAACTTCGGGTTTCGGAAAGGCTTCGAACTTGGGTTGGAACTCGGTCGCTTGTACGCCAGAGCAGAAACTATTCACCTGAAAGAGTCCTCCACTTCGAAGGATAAAACTATTTCAAATTTACTGATGGAAATGATCGATTCGGTGCCGAAGAATGACCTGCATAAAGCCGATTTACCTGAGATTTTGAATAAAATCCGAGCGAAAGAGAAGGTGTTCGCCGCCACTTGCGAAAAAGGAACCAAGTTGCCGAGCCAAACCGAAGCCGATTTGTCGTTTTGAATTTGTTCATTTTTTAAAGGATGTTGCAAATTGATTTTGATGCATTGTTTTTTCGGAATTCAAGGCTTTTTGAATCATGTTGGTGCTTCGGTTAATGGTCTTCGTCCGTAAGAATGGGAAACAATTACAGTATCTGAAAAATTCGGAAGTCTAGCTCTGTGTGAAATGCTGACCCCTTCGGAATGTGAATCTGTCGAAAGGTTAATCTATTCAAAAAATTTTATGAGTAATTTTTAACTTGGAATGTTTTACTTCATATTTGAAGGAACACCCCGAATAAACAGAAAATAGTACCCAACACAATCAAGGAAACTGAATAGAAAAAAAGTGTCGTAGCTGCTTGAAAAGCGATGAATTCAACCTAATTCCACGCAGCGAATTTCGAATTTTTGAAGAGAAAAATCTGTGTTCCAGTCCATTATCCGAAGCAAAAATTGACGGGAGTTGATTATGCGTCAAAAACCGGTGTTGGAATCTTTAAAGGCGTCTTTTTGTGGGAAATATTTTTTTTTCAGAATGAAGCGTAAAGTTGAAGAAGTACGCACTGCGTTGGACAATGCCGTGAATCTCTACGAAGATGTCCGTTCGATTGTGTCAAGCCATGCATCTTCATTTTTCGTCCTGGACTACATGAACACTCTTTTCACTGAAGACCTTCGAGATGCGCTTTTCCAACTCACTGTAGAAGCAGCTTGCGAACTTCCGAGTCTCCGTCTTAGCTCAGACTTCCGACCCGCGATCACCGATTTTCTGATTCGACTCCGGAACGTTTTAAATTCCGACGTGATTGTTCCTTCGAAAGAGGAATTTTTCGCGGAATGCGGAGTGACGACATCGAGGATTGATTACGCGTGCGTCGCGTGTCCTGACAAGAAGAAGCATGAAGTGATTGCCTCGTGTGACCTGGTTGAAGGGTTGACCCGGAAATGCGGGTTGAGGCGCGTCACGGATTTGGGCAGTGGAAAGGGTCACTTGGGGTCAGCGTTGGCGACTTATTGCGGACTAGATGTCGTGTGTATTGAGTGTCGGGCTTTCTTGTCGGAGAGTTCCGCTCGACTCCATGAGCGGCATGTGGTGAGCATGTCGATAATTACTGGGCAGCACCGGTACATTTTAATTAGAACGGATGGAGAGACTTGAAATAGACGGGAGAATCAGAAGAAAGTACTGCACTTTTCAATCGTGGGGCGATTATTGAATTAAACAATGTACGCTGTATTGTGGATGTATATCACCCGAAACTTTCCCATTTTGATACAATAAGGGGTTGCTGTATTGAAAGGTCCATCCGTTCATTATCTCAGAAATGTAATCGATACACTTGGAAATACGGATACATTAATTGATAAATAACTCCATATCGTGAAGGTTCATGAATTGACCGCCACGTTATTTCTTTTGGTAAAAATACAGCAGTGAAATTCGAGTCTGATTAAGGAATTCAGAATGAATCCCTCAGTATCCAAGAAAAGATTTTGGATTAAATTTCGATTTCCACGTTCGTTCTCAATTTTTTCAAGCAGAATATGTCTGTTGGGTTTCGGATGTTTTATAAATTTTCCTCAATTCAATTCTGAAAACCCATTGATGTCATTTTTCAACGGTTGTTGGATTCATGGCGATAATCTTTTCCTGGATATAATTTTCTGTCGAGATTGATTTTGTCAAGGTTTCTCGACCCGAAATTCATTTAAATTGCATTTCTATTCGTCGCACCGAGATTCAAAGTCGTTGACGTTAATCGTCGTAAATGCGTTAGCAGGATACATTTTTGAATAGGATTGAATTTTTTGCTTCATCCAAAAAAAGGATTGAAATTTATAAAAATAGGGAAGTTGCCTTTATTCCTGAAAATTTTTGTAATATTTTTCTTCCCAGAAAAGACTCGAGAAGAAGACGAAAATCGAAGCCAAAGGCAGCGGGACGTTTCGCATTGAAGCAGATCTAATCAATTCCTCGTCGGATTTAGAGCGACTGAACCCGGACGGAGAAGAATTCGCCATCATTGGATTACACGCATGTGGGAACCTTGCGGTGGATGCCGCACAGTTGTACACGAGAACGAAGTCGTGCTCTGCAATGTTCATCGTTGGTTGTTGTTATAATATGCTTGTGGAAGAGTTCGATGCCTCGGATCCATATACTGTAGAAGAAAGAATTGCCGGGAGATTCAGATTCCCAGTGAGCTCGTTTTTGAGAGAGAAAAGCTTTGGCTTGTCGAGGAATGCGAAGATGCTTGGATTGTATGCCCCGGATAGAATCAACGCTTCTTCGCTGGAGAGAATTTCTAATGGCCCATTGGTGAGTGCGATATTATTATTGCCGTATATTTCTTTGATGTTTTCTTTAAATTTTCTGGGGTGAATGAGAAATAAAGTGCAATTTCCGAAAAAAATATACGCCCGTTTGTGATGAATTCTTCCTCAGTGCAACACCAGAAGACTGTTTTGATGTTCATGTACAGTACTGTAATGTATTTTTATACCGTCAGTCCGTTCTGCTTTGTTGAGCGAAGCTGACGAAGTCTATTATTTTTTAGCAATTTATGAATTATAGTCTTTTATTGCTTGCGTGTTTTCTCCTACTTAAGCGCGAGTTCCATCAATACCGTTTTAGTCTTCATGCTCTAGCAGAATTTTACTTTTTTCCAGGATTCCAGCGAATCTCCGTTTTTCCGGGCTGTGCTGGATTTTATGATGCTGGAAAGCGGAGTTGAAAAGGCACGTGGAGCGACGGTAGGCTCGGCATTCAAAAAGGCGAAAGGAGACTTTGTTACTTACGCGGAAATCTCGTGGAAAAATTTGAATCTGGATCCATCGAAGTTTGACGAAGGGAGAGCGAAGGAACTGTATGACCAGTGTTCATTGCTGCGTAAGGAGTTTCACATCTTCCAACAATTTCGAACTGCCCTTTCACCGTTGATCGAGTTTATAATCCTGGTTGACCGTCTCCTAGCTCTCCTTGAAGAGGTAAAATTTACTCGTTGCTCCCTCAAATTTACATATTACCGTAGTATACAATTTTCTTCGGAAGGGATTTGAAAACTCTTGGTTGGTGAGAGCTTTTGATCCCGTGATTTCTCCGAGATGCTACGCCTTGGTGTCTCACAAGTGATGAACAATCATTGGTGAGTCAGTATTTTTATTTTGGAGTTATATTATAAGATAAATGAGTCAGAATTTTTAATTCATCATAAGAAAGTTCATGTGTCGATAAATTTATTTTTCCGAGGTGCCCATGTGATCTTCGCGTAGATGAAAGAGCCATTTTTTATGCTTTCGACACATCGACAAGCTTTAAGGCAGCGTTGGAAATTGTTGGAACTCCTGAATACACATGATAAAATTCAGTAAGTTGCACCTCGAATGAAAACTGTCGTTACGTTCTTCACCTCATATTGGTGAACAAAACTGAAAGATTTATCACTTTTTTAAATGCTAGCTAGGATTTCTGGAACTTAATGCTGGTATTGCCTCGAATGCACTGCATTACATTTAACGACCCGATTATATATATTTTCAACCCACCCTACTTAAAGTACTGTATTTGACATCAGGAAATCTCAATTGAATCCGGGCAACTTCTTTTTTTGATGGTATGTGGAATTTTCAACTTGGGGCATTTGAAAGTACGAGTGAGTAGAGCCAATATTCGCGAAGCATCTTAGTCAAAGGTATAAAAAAAGTCTTTTTATTTGAGGCTCACATTTTTTATCCAGATCGTAGAATAATTTTGAAAAGCGCTCCGAAAAATCGTTGACAGAGGTTCGAAACTCCTTGAATCCCTACACATGAATTAGATTCAGTGAGGAAGTGCAATTTCCGCATGGAATAAAAACCGTCGTCCTGTTCGCCTTCCTAATGCGATTTACATTTAAAATTTGGATACTGTACAGTACTCGTCACTTTAATTCCCTTTCAAATACTGGCGTGAATTCACGGAATGTTACGCAGGTGTCACCCCAATTTTAATTCGTAACATAATCTTGCCAATTTAATATATACCAGATCTTGAAAAATATAGGAAACCCACGCAATATATAAAGTGAGCTCTAGAATTTGTACGCGGGGGATTTTAAAGAGTGTAGAGCCAATACTCGCATTATCCGTCTTAGCAAAATTATAAATTGCCTTCCATTCATCTTCCCCTTCTTGAGGCTCACACTGAACGCTTTCAGATCAAAGAGTCATTTCGAGAGGCACTCTGGGCATTGAAAATTTTCCTGACATAAGATCGAAACTCCTTGAATCCCCACACGTAAATAATCGGATTCAACAGCGAATTCAATGTGCCCATCAAGTAGAACACCGTCGTTATGTTCTTCGCCAGGTCCTTGCAATCTTCCCCGCACATGCGGAACGCGTACACCAACGAAGCGGCCGAATGCGGGATCCAGCACACTGCAAAACTGATGACCAACAACAGAATCGCCGTGACTGCTCGTCTTTCTGACCGAAACAGCTGCGAGGGACGCCGCAGTAGATTCGTTGGTGTGAGTCTTCGTTTCACGTGGATCTCGTTGAGAGTAAGCGAAGACTGGGTCACTGAAGATGAGGCGTCCACGGCGGCTTGTTGACTCAGCGCCGTTCGCACGATCTTGAAATACAAGATGGTCGTCGGGACTAGGCCCAGAAACACGTACATGGCGTTGAGCAGAACTATGTAAGCCGAAGGGACGACTTCTACGTAGAAACACCGGCGGGTGAATTGCATCTGACGTTGGCTGATGTAAGGGAAGAAGACTGGAGCGAATCCGACGATGATGGCGGTGAGCCAAGCGGCGGCGGTGGCTAAAAATACTCTGGAGCGTCTCATTTCTCGGAGGTACATCATGCCGTGCATTATATAGAAGTAACGATCTGCAGCGACGAGTAAAGTGTGGAGTATGGATGCGATGCCGCTCGTTACTGCGAATGCTGTTGAAAAAAAATGAAAAAAGAGGCAATTAATTGATCTAATTTCGTTTCCTCTAAAAACAAAATATTGTATCCTGCAAGGTTAGGTGAAACGGTCGTGTTCGCTTCGGCGGAAGTGAACGCGATTTTCTGTTTGTGATGCTGGTACTGTAGTAATCTATGTACCATTCAGTACCTACAATTTTTCGCTGCACAGAAAAAAGTGCATTATTGTCAGCTAATTTGTTGTGAGAAGTCAAATTTGTTTTGATTGTGCTCCGCTAGCAAGAAGTAATAGCTTGTCAAAATTGTAAGCGTTGAAACTGGACTCGATTGATGCAGTTATTAATACATTTTTCGGTATTTAATTATTTTTCCGGTAAATTATTACCGAAGCAAAAAGAGATTCTTGAGTGTTTTAGCAATGGAATTAAAAAAAAAATTCAGTGGTCTACTCACATATTTTCAAAGTGCAGATGAACATCTCCGTCTTGACTTGCCACAGGTGAATGACGAAGATGACGAGTCCGACCATGAAGTCGCTTCCGGCGAGACTCGCGATGTAACAGTACTGCGCCTTGTGGACCCCGTTGACGGACTTGGTTCTAAGGATCCCAATCGCCAGGGCGACTATTATGCCATTGGGAACCGCGATTACCACACCGGTGGTACTCAGCAGTGCGTAGAACATGGTAGTGGTTGAATTGGATGCGTGAGTCGTGGTGTTTCCGAATTCACTCCCTTCGTCGAAGCTGGGAATAAAACCCGCGAACTTCCGACCGAAGCTCGTTTCATTCACTTGCTCCATGTTCTAATGATTTAAAACGAATATTTTTCTATGAGGATTCTCAGTTTGAAGTGTTCTGTTCACTGTTCTGACTCGAAGGCTTCGTGGCGAACTTAACGAGTTTGTTCAGCTGAAAAACTTTTTGATAATTGAATAATCCCGCGCTCATTTACACGAGTTTTAGAAAATTTAATGTCTTTCCTTCCAGGACACGCCTTAATTTTTTTTTAGTCTGAAGAGAAAGTTGGTTGTTTAATGACTATAATCTAAGAAGCATTTTCACTTGCCGCAGAGAATGTCAGATGCTGAATTAAATGCAAGGTGCGCCAATTTTCAAGTGAATAGATTAAAACTCAATGAAAAAAATTGCATCTAGTTGAAAATTAATCAAGCGAGCCAAATTTTGCGACTCACTCGAATAAAAGAGATTAGCGAAGAAAAAATAATTATAACGCTTTCGTTCAAGTTCCGATTGCTTTTTAAAATTTAATTTTTTAAGCTGTCTCTAGTTTAGGACGTGATGAGCCAAATTTATCCTTGGTGTGAAGAATATGCTGATTTTGATAATTTAAATGAGTGCACAGTGTCAACGAGCATTTTGTATGCGAATCTACAGGACGCCATCAATTGAAGATTGGTTTGTTTTTCTGAAGTCAATTTCTGAGAAAAAGTGCTCGCTACATTTGCGTTAAGATGGTGTGTATTGACAGTACCACGAGATTTTGTCTGTAAACAAGAAATCTGTTGATGCGAAAGCGAATGTGTCTTTATTTTCAGCTGCCACTTACGAGGAAGATTAGGTTGTTGGTTTGTGCTCGGAACCTTATCAGTTGACAATGAACTGCAGAAGAATAAAAGGCTAAGAAACAAACGAATCGGGTTTTGAAGCTGATAAAAATCCACGGCGTGCTTCGTCAACTGATGCAGAGAAGCGCGTGCAAGTGAAACGCTGGAAGCCGAACTGATATTCGAGACCTGACGGGATTGCATGGAAATTTTTGCATTTTGATGAGCTTTTGTATGGAGAACAGTATCCTCATTTGGATCTCTGAGATTTCGTATACAAGGTTTCCAACCGACGGAAATAACGGTGAACTTGACTCTGCTTTCAGACATAAAAATATGACAAAAACTTCGTTACCGTGCTTGAATTGAGACTCATTGAGTGGAAACAAAGGAGACTTTAGTTGACTAATTTTTAAACCGAACTATTCATTTCCTTTCAATCAGCTAGTTATCAAGCTTCGGGATTTTTCTAGAATTTCTGTGTAACATTGCGTTATATGACTCTGATCTTTTTGAAAAAGGTGCATAGTTCAAAAATAAAGTTGAATTTTGACTCATTAAGCGGAAACAATAAAGGCTGCATAATGGACCTTATAATATGTTTTGAGCGATTTATTTCCTTTCGCCCAATCTTCGAAATTCCCGGGAATGTCTATGAAATGTTATACAGTTTTTAAATAAAGTTAAATTCCGACTTATTGAGTGGACATGAAGAGGGTACAAAGTCAACCATATACCGTAATTTTTATTCGAGCGATTTATTTCCTTGCAATTGGATAATTATCCAAGCTTTGAAATGTGAGGGAATGTCTGCATGAAATCATGTTAGGTGACTGTCAATTTTTTAAAAAGGCGTATAGTTTTTAAATTGAATAAAATCATGCGTGGTTTTTATTTATCTATGTGTTCAAATGTTGCTCTCCTGCACATTCCGGTTTTTATTGAGGGAAATCGGGTCCTTTTTCATGGCTTGTTAATTATATTTTTTGTGTTGGATAAGAGCCGTGTTTGGAAGTTGAAAAATTTTTCAGTGCAACTGTATTTGGCATGTGCTCGACGAGTTTGTCCACTTTCGATGTCGCGAGGTTATTTGAGATATTAACGCTCAAGGAATTTTGCCATGGCTACGCTACCTGAATTTTTGCGTGTGTTTTTCTTTCAAAAAATTAAAGTAGCACTGATGAAAAAAAAAGTATAAGTGCCCCTCTTTTTGGCATGTGATCGATTGGTTTGCAATTGTTCACTTCGTTGTCGCGAGGTTATTTGAGAAATTAATCCTACGCTAACTAAAAAATTTTTTTCCGTCATTTTCTTTCAAAAAATGAGAAAGATGTATATTTTCGTCACACCGGAGTCGCTGTCACAGGTTCTCTCATCTTCGGACGCCCGAAGGAGGACCGGAAGCTCGACATTTGCCGCAGCAGAACCGGCTTGCATCGCAAGCAATTAACAACGTACTTGCGAAGCTCCCTGAACCCCCAGGTGTACACGAAGGGATTGAACAAGGAATTCAGGGTGCCCACGAAGAAGAACACGGAAGTGATGTTGGCTGCCAGCCGACGTTCGCAGCTCTCCGACTGCCCGCAAGCCCCGAAATGATAAGCAAACACTGCAAAGGCGTGAGGCAGCCAAGCCAAAGCGAAGCTGAGGACCAGCACCAGGATGGCAGTGACTGCGCGCTTTTCTGCGCCGAAACGCTGCGCGGGTTTCAGGGGTTTCAGCATCAACGGCAGCAGCGGGGTTATCTTACGCCTGTGTTTGATGATTGCGAGAGTGGGTGTTGTTTTTGTTGCTGTTGTTGGGGTTGTGATGGTGCCTGAGGATGGGGTTTGTTGCGGGGTTGGACGGACCTATGACGGGAAGACAGTGGGGAAATCAGGTACTGTACAGTTGAACCTCGATGACTGGGACCTTCCCTGCGTCGAAAACCCCCTTATGTCGAATTTATTGTCCTCTTTGAATTACCTCAAGAACAGTGCTGTTATCTAAGCCTCCCTAACTCGAACCGAGTTGAACTCCCTCTACAGCAAACTTCAAGGAATGAGAAAATAATCGTTGTCCAGAGAATTTTGCTGTAGAGAGCGCCTTTACGACGGGGATATCTGTATGGGACCAAAACAGAATTCGTTCCACGGAGAAAATCGTTGTAGAGCTAGAGACATGACTCAATTTTTGTGTGTGCTGTCATTTTGTAACAGAACTAAACATATTCTTTTTTATAGATCAAGTAAGTGACTAAATGGAAAATTTTACCCTTTCCTTAAAGTTCAGCTTTCTGTAATCTCATTAATCCAATACTCTGAGGCTCATAGTACACAGATTTGACCTTCCTGTGATTAGTTCGACATTAAAAAAAAAGGTTGGTTCCTTGGAGATCGACGTCGAGATACGTATGTGACTGTATTGTGTATCCTGCCTAACAAAAGACCCGGGCAACGGAAATTCCACATGACGAAACTTTTTGGGTAAAAAGTGACGTGCAACAAAAATTTTCCGCAGAACCAAATTTTCTTAGCCGAAAAATGCTCGAATTTTTAAAAGTTTTGAGGTGAAACTGAAATTGGATAGAAAAATTCGAGGGAATTTTCAGAAGGGTTCAGTTTTGCTTCTTCTCTTTGAAATTCAAAAAGTCCAGAGAACAACATTACTAGAATTGTATAAAACTCAATTTAAAATGTCATGCCGATATGTGGAAAAAATGCAAACATTTTTCAACGTTTTTCGTGGTCTTCGATTGTGTCCTGAAAAAATTATCATGTAAACTTAAGAGAAATTCAATTTTGTATTTAAAAAAATCCCACATAACAGAATGCATCCAGGAATGGGTTAGTTTCGTTTTGAATTCACACACTGTACATTGATGCATGTGGAAATGTAATTCTCAACCTTTGCTAAAAAGTCTTCTTGGACATAATGGAATTTTTTATTATGTCATACAGTATTTGGTTTCTCCTTGAATATGGGAAATGAACCTTTGAACCCAAATATCAACAGACCTTTTACTTTATTTTCCTGGTGGAGCAATAATGGCGTATATCATAGTCAAGTTCATTTGATTATCCGCGGTCAGATGTTGTACTATGTACAGTATAAACTTAACTTATAATAAATTCATATGACGAATGTATCAGTTTGAAGAAACTCTAGAGAAAAGGGGTGTCTAATAATTCAGAATTCTGGATCACCTTTTTGAGTCCCATGGCGGGTTGCCCCAGCAAGGGTCTCACATTATGCTTGGCCCTCACCGACAATTCCATCTCTTTCAAAGGGAACGTCCTGCCATTGACAACCTCTTCATCAAACCGGAACGGAGTGACTTCGTGAGCAGCGGAAGTACCCAGCTGAGTTGACCTCGTTTCCATGTCCACCGCATTCTTTTGTCTGATGGCCGTTTTCACGATGACCACGTAAATCCCCGTCGTCGGCACTAATCCGACGACTATGTAAAATAATTCCACGAAAACGGCGTATGCCTGAGGCACTACTTCCACGTAGTAGCAACGGCCGTGCCAGGAGAAATCTTGACGAATCAGCACGATTGCCAACGGGGTGAAGCCAATTAGCGCGGACGTGAGCCATGCGATTGCAGTGGCGGAAATTATGCCGGCTTTCCGCACTTTCATGCGGTATGTGAGGCCGTGTATGATGTACAAGTAGCGGTCGCAAGCGATGAGCAGGGTGTGCAGGATGGATGAAAGGCCGCTTGTTATTGTGAGGGCTTCATGCAAATATAGTTTATGAAGTATGCGTAATGATGAGAGGGAAAATGGAAAAATGGGGGCATTTTAGCGCAGGGTGAAGGAAGAACGCCGTTATCAAACGAGTCAACTAGGGTCAAAAGGGTGGTGATGGTCCTATAAGTTAAGAATGGTTCTTTAATCCAGTGCTCCCCAACCTTTTTGGGCTCATGGCCCAGCAAACTTAACTAAATGGACCAGCAATTTAACCCTAATCTGTTGCTGGACTAGTGTCAAATTGCAAGACACTTCTTAAAATTAAGAAATATGAGCACAAAATGCAAAAAAAGTGCCCAAAGCAGTTCAAATTCTGGGGCAGAGGTTGAATTGCAAGTCAACCTCCCTGCAAATTCAACTGCCAAATTGTGGGACAGTCAAATTGAGAGAGGTTGAATTGCAAGGCACCACCTGCACCTCCCTATTAGTCCTCCAACCAAAACTTTTATTGCAAAATTAAGTTGAGGAACCGGCAAGAAGCTTTAGTGGAATGTCTTCAAAAATTAGAAAGCTGAGCTTCTTGAAAGTTTTCTCTGCAGGAATGCTTGAAATACTTTATTCTAGCAGTTAAATTTGTCTGAAGCATTATTAGGAAATAAACAAAGTTTTATTTTTCATCAGATAATTTCAACTGCCATTGTCTTGACAAAATTTCAGATGAAGACAAGAGAAGTCATTATTACCTTTATAGAAGGTATTATGCTGAAGAAAATTTCCTCAAAGACCAGCAAAAAACTTCTGCAGACCACTGCTGGTTTGGGGACCACTGCTAGTTCAATCAGTTTGTGGATTAGTTTTGTTATGCAAAACACCATGTACCCAAGTATTTAATAAGAAAATAATGAAGTTTTTCCTTATATACAGGCAAAAGAAAAAATATTGTTATACTTGACCCACCAAATAAGCTGTGTTGAGCAAGTTAGAGAGGTAAAATACTGTACTGTTCTTGGATGCTTGCTAGTAAAAGTTGCACAAATGCAAACAATGGACAATTTTCTGGAATCAGCAAAATTTACGATGCACAAATCGATTAGATCTGTAGATATGGTACCTAGAAAATGACCCCTAATCAAGTGAATAAAAACGAAAAAAAAAACATAAGACCCGTCTGTAATGCTTGGGGAATGAAGTACAATTTGTTTTTGGGACGCGTTATTGTATCCTCGACTTTGCATAAGCGCTAATTTGATGGTATACACCCGGGTATTGCATAATACCCGGGTGTATACCCGGGTATTGTGCCGAGTTGCCAATCATAACTCATTGTCACTCACAAATTTTCACTTCGCACAAGACAATGCTGTCTTCCACTCGCGACATGAAAATGACGCAGATGATGAGTCCCACCAACATGTCACTGCCCGCCAGACTAGCAATGTAGCAATACTGCGCCTTCTGAGTTCCTTGCACTGTCCGTTTCTTGAGTACCATGATGGCCAGAGTCACAATCAGGCCATTTGGAATAGCAATCAACAGGCCTGTGAAGCTGAGCAGCAAGTAGAACCAGTGTTGCACGTTTCCGTCTTGATCTAAACTGGTTTCGTTTCCCGGAACGGAAGCAGAGTTGCCGGATATGGAGATATTTTCGAACGTCTTGAACCACGTCTCATGGCTATTGTTCATCTTGCGAATTACAGGATATATTTTTTCCAAGTCACTTCCCCCGTTTCCCTCAAGAAAAAGTGACTCATTTATAGACTGTCGATTACGTATCTTGTATACATTTGGTCCCCGCTTTACTCACACGACGAAAGGGGAACATAATCTACATTAAAACATTTTTTTGCCATAAAACGGCTCAAATTTTTGCAAGTTTTGAACAGAAAGCTTGGAATTTTTTTGTGGAAAGAATGAGAAGAGTCTAGTTTTGCCTGTTCTTGTCATAAAAATTGGTGAAATTCAGAGGGTCACAAACGTTTCAGGATTACTTCAATTTTAAATTTAGTTTCGTGCTAAAATTAATTCACTAGCAATCTGGAAATCATTATTAACTTAATATTGAAAAGTTATAATTTTTTTTTAACGTACTTGAACCGAACATCAACACCAACATTTTTCGCTCGGTATTTGTACACGCACTTATTCTGTTTTATTTATAGGCATACAAATTTATATTTACATTTTTAAAGAATAAAAGATGTCCTGGTAAAAAACCAATATTGTACAAGTGGAAGTACAGTTGTTCTTTTTTTGTAGGGAAAAAAAGTTCCTGTAATACCAGACGAATCTCATAGTCTTATTTTTGACGGAAAAACGGGAGCCCCACTTCCATCTCGCGAGTTAATCGCCATGGTCCGCAAAAACTCATCAAAACACCCATCACACGAAAGATCAATTCGCCGTTTTTCAATAATAGAACGTCGACACATTTCACGGAAGACACTGCAAGGCCTTATACACAGGGAGTGACACATTGACATTTGTTGTTGCGTGCTCTCATTACGCACGCATCTCGTTCAGGAGGCGACTTCATGCGTGAAGTCCCCGAGGAAATCAAGCTTACACGCGCTGAAACGTTACCCGTTTTCATCAGCCAAGTCTCCGTCTTATCTCGTTGTTGGATGTGACATTTTATCAGCGACGTAATCGCAAAAGTGAAGTTCAATCCGTATTTTTAGTCTATCAAATCTTTATCATCGGGAAGTAATCGCCGAAAATGCAATGACGGGTGTATATTGGGTGTTGGAAAAAAAATATAGAACGATTAAAAATTCAAATCGCTATGATTGAGTTTTCTGGAAAAATATTAAATCAAATCATTCAGAGCTGAATCAAAAATGTAGCCCATGACCTCTACAATTTCGATAAACTGGGACAATTCTCAGGCACTGGATTGTTGTACAGAGCAGAATCACCATTTCACTCACAGACACCTTTCCCCACAAAACATTAGACTCAAATATTTGCTGTAAAATTTCGTAAATCTTCGGTAAAAATCGTATTTGCAACACATTCAGTGAAGTTGAAATGAAGAAATTCTAGGGAGTAAAAAGAGCTAAGGTTCAAATCGTTCGGCTGATGTAACTGTGAAGCAAAAATTGCATTACAATTTCTGCTAAGATTTCAAGTTTTTGCATGCATTTCCAGAAATAGATTAGGCTTCGTCACAAAAAATTAAATTATTTCACAATTTTACTGTGTTTTTGAGTTTTTATCATACCCTGAAAAGAAGCGTACATTCGCATTAAGAAACGTCAGCAAATTAAATAATTTGCGATGCATTTCGAGGCTGAACGGAGTCTTCGAAATAAATCTTGAAATAATAAAAAAAAAGGTTCTTCGGCTTTAGCATCAACGTTTTCTCAAAGAAACACAGAAATAGAAGTGCCGTTGGAACAACGGAGGTCAAAAACTTTTAAATCTATGACGGAGGCAATAAATTAACTCTTGTCAACAGAAGATAGGTTTACTTCAATAAAATTCCGATAACAGCAACGTGAATGGAAGCGCTTTTTCTCATTGTTCCTGCTCGAAAATCCCCAGAATAATGTACAATAAAAAAGAAAGCACACTCAATTCTTCCGCGTTCCGTCCCACAAAAATTTACGATAGCTGCATAAAAAAACGAATAACACGAAACTTGACAAAAAGCTCGTTAAATGTGCGGTACAGTGATAGCAATGCTCAAAAAACCATTCTTTCTTCTGTGATGCTCGAGTTGCTCAAAATCTGCCTGAAGCCTCTTCGCACAAGTTTTACTCTCCAGAATCGCAGAAAATATTTATGAGCTCATTTTGCAACATTCCTTCACGAAGGAAGCCGAAAACTATGAAAACATTGAACCTGTTTCTAGAAACCTGATTGAATATTTTCAGTTCCGGGGAAAAATTAATTTTTTGGGCGCTCAAATTCTTAAACTAAAATTGCTTGATTGGAAAATTCGTTGAAGTAAAAATTGGTATGGTCTTTATGTACCAAGCCAGGATTCCTAATTCCTAACTGGAGGCACTATTCCCGAATAATCATGAACCATCTAAAAATCCCTCTTCACGAAGCAAAACATTTTTCAAAACGGAATATTGCGGACATATTTTTAAATACTGTAATGAATGTATTCAAACTTCGCATCATGCAAAATCCCATGATAAACTCAACAGGAGAAAATTCAGGCAGATACCGTATCAACTCTTTTACTTAGATTTTCCTTGATACAGTGTTCTTAAAATGTATCGAATATCAATATTCACCGGAACGCATTTCTCGCTTGTTCTTTTCAACGAAACTCGAAATTTATTCATTATAATTCAATGAGTTTGACTTCTGTTTCTGGTTTCACGAAATATGCCCGCGACTGAACGAGGCGCAACTCCAAGTCCTTTGTTCGAGCATTTTGCAGACTTCCACTGACGCCTGAAAACAGAAGGTTTCACTAGATCTTGCTCCGATGCAATTTTATGCAAAAAATACAGATTTCTTGCGAGATGCTTCTCAAAATGCGTGCGAACTGCTGATCAACTAACCTTTTTTATGAAAACAAAATAATTTCTGGGTACAAAAGGATATGCTTTTAGAGACATCTAAAGTCAACTTATATTGACCAGAGGAGGGAAATGTGGTTTATTCATCAAGTTTTAATTTTTTGATGCGATTTAGTCCGGGAATTTTTCAACTCCAGTGAGTATTAGGATAGTTAATCCAACTATATTCAAGCTACAATCTTAAAAACCCCTTTTTTTATTGCGAGTTCAATATATGTTTGACCATCTTCACCAGGAGAATCGCTGAAAACAATTTTCATTCTAACACTTTCATTCCGTAAAAAAATGGGTGCCAACAGAATTTCTTGATTGTATACGATACGCTTTCAAAGTTGACCGCTTTCAATGTTTGTCTGAGTGGTACGAAAATAATTAAGAGGAACTCATCAACAAATTGAGCACCAGATTTGCCAACAATCTGCAAAAATCATTCCCGATCATCCATCATAATAAATTTCCACTTTTCATTCCTTTTTTAAATCATAGAATAAGATATCGAAAAATCAATCACGGTTTACATCGATTCACACAAAAACCTATTTTCATCATCTAAACCTGAGGATTTCAACTCGACGGAAGGGTTGGATGAAAACTCACGTTCTGCATGTTGTGCAGTCTTCTTCAAAGTATCCTGCATCGAAGCAACGGTCATCCGCAACGATTTCCCGACATCAGAAGTATTGATGTAATTAGCAAGGAAGAGTGATGCGAAAAGATCCCCGGTCCCGGTGAAATTGCACAGTAACTTCTGCATCGGGGCTTTAAACCTTCGCACATTTCCTGTGAACATGACGATATTGCAATTAATTAAATTTCACAATAAAATTTTTCGGCAGCTTCGAGAGGCTAAATATAATTAAATTGGAACGCTGATAATCCGTGCATTTAAAACCATGACTTACATGGGCTCGAAAAAGTACCTCACAACTCAAATTACTGGAGTTGACAGAGTTGCTCATCAAAATTCCACGTAAGAATGCCTTTCGAAATAAATTAACTTTGAGGTTGACACGAAACTTCTTCGATCACAAATAATTCACACGATTTTTGCAAGATGATTTTTTCCTCTTCCTCTTTTAAGAAGACATCTGGTCACTAGTCCAGATACTAGACGTTCCACAATAAAAAAAAAATCTAATGGAATGAAAGCAACGTTCTCACCATTCACTTTTTCTGACACAAGGGCAAAATACTTCGAATCAATTTCAGCAGACGAAATAACCACGATTCTTGGTCCTTTCTGATGCAAGGCATCAACGGCTTTTAGCACGCATTCCACCGAGTTTATTTTTGAATCCGTCAACAACCTGACGAATACAATCGCAGAAACATCGCGTTTTTATTTGGAAACAATTTAGATAGGATAACACGTGTGTAAATTGAAGAAGACCTTCACCCTCTGCTTCTACAAATACAATTTGGTGTAAAATCTACAAAAACTGCCTTTTTTATAGAAGGAATGAAAAATAATGAATGGAAAAATGTCACCGCAGATCAAATACTTATGCAAGGTTTTGCAGTTATTACAATATTTCAACAGTGATTTTGGTAAGATTGTATTTAAAAAATTAACCTGGAAACGACGAATGGCTGCATGAATTTCCTACAATGCCGCAAAAATGTCGTTCAATTTAGCATTTTTAAACGAAGGAATTTCTCCAGAAAACATTTTTAAGCACTTTCTCATCAATTCTCAACGGCAGAAAACCGCGAGAAACTGGATTACAAATTCTCGAGAATTACAAGCAATTCACTCAAGTGGCAAACAACAGAGTAATATCAATACTAAAGGAATAGAATGACGTACTCGGCCTCAAATTGGTTGGGACAGATGATGTCTGCCAGTGGAACAACAAGGTCACGATAGATTGGTACGAGAGACGATGGGACATACAGTCCTTGGTCATAATCTCCGAGGACAGGATCACATAAGTAGACTAATCCAGGCCGATCCTTCTTCAGATCTGCTACCGCTTTTACAATGCTCATCAAGAATCCGTCATCTCCAACGTAACCTGATAAACTATGAGTGTAGTCTGAGGTCAAGTTGTTGACTTTCAAACCTGCGTAGAGATCATCTGTTCGACATGGGAAGGGGTTACTCGACAGCTGGAATTAGTAGGATTCAAGAGATAATCACCAAGATCCGAGGCGGAAAGCACTTGTCCTTTCCACTTCCCATAACCCGTGTGATTCGAAAATTGAACCGAGTTAACTGAGTCCACCTCAATCCCCATGTACTAAACGCGATACTAGCGGTGAAAAATCAGAACGGTTTCAAACTGATGAGTACTAACCTGCAACGGAAACGCAGCGCTTCTATTTCCAACGTATCCGAAAACAACGTGCGATTGGATAGATAGAACTTTCGCCTCCGTTTCCATCTTGTTCAATACTTCCACTGCCTGACAACCAGAGCAATTTCGACAGATGAGCGGCATGCTTCATTCAGACAAATGAAAACTGAATCTGACAGTGGTAATGCACACCAGCATACATTTCCTTGACTAAACGCAGTCCCCCGAAAACGAAAAAAATGTAGAACAGCTGGAGACAACAGGGACAATATTGCAACTCTAGTGAATAGCGAAGTTCGACGGTGTCATCAAACACAATTATGCTGCGGTCTGCAACAGATCTGCATACTTCTTGAGTTTGGAAGCTAAACTCATATCGACGTACTTATCCCCGATTGACACAACCATGCCACCAATCAGGGATTCATCAACTTTCGTCTTCAAGATCAGCTGCTGGCCTGGTTTCAAAAACGCCTTCAAGGCACCATCGAGTTCTTTTTTCTGGTCTGCATCCAAGGGCTGACAGAAACAAAGAAAATTAGTCACCAAAGCACGTAATTTCTCGAATCTTGAGCTAACCTTCGCTGTGACGACTTCGCAAATAACTTCTCCACGTTGTGCAGACATCATAAGCTTGTATGAATTTACGATGTGGTCGAGAGTGTTCAACCTCCCGTTTCCCGCTACTAAGCCCAGAAAATTAGCTGTGACTTGAGTAAAGCTGTTCTGCTTAGAAATATCCAACAAAGCTTGCTGCTTTACAGTTCGATTAACGGTGGGGTCCATTAGATAATCTCGAGTCTTGTTGTTCGCATGAAGCATTCCTTGAAATGTCGTCAGCTCCTTCTCAACTTCGTCCAGCTTCTTCGACTTTGCTGCAGCTGAATACAGAGCAGTCGCGTATTTCCCTTCGGTTCCGAACACTTGGATAGGAGGACGAATCATTGCAACGTTAGAGCACATGTTGCGGACCTAAACAGAAAGGACCAGTCACTTTTGCAAAATGACATTGTCAGTGAACTTCTACACACCTGGATGATGCCTTTGAAAGCCATCGTAGAGATTTCGCCGGAAACACGAGAATAATAAGAACTACTCCTGTGATAGGAAAAAAAAAAGTGGGCATTAAACACTCGCAGTAAGAAAGAAGCAGTTGTTGCGACCAGCGTTATTCACTAAAGCAACAGAATACGCGCTTTCCACTCGTTAGATAAGAGGAAAAAAGTTGAAGGATGCGTAGTAGGTTAATAATCTCCATTAACTCTGATTTCTCTTGCGATTGATCTTCGCTTCACGAAATCCGTGAGAACCTCACATAAAAAATAAATGCACAGACTTCCGCTGCTTTACAGAAGGCAATCCACCAAAAAATCCCTGGGATTTCAACGGTGGACGTCAACCGAACATCTTGCGGAGATAGATATAACAAAAATATTTGTCTTTGGATGCATCATAATATCAAACTATTACGTAGAGTGTGAATGCCGAAAAATTATTGACTCTTGCGAAATTTAAGCGTGAATACTAATACATTACAGGAGTTGAAATGATTTCAACTAAAAGACAACCACCATCTCGCACCACTGCTTATGTCCACAACCCATAACCCAATCACACGGATTTCAACTGCATTGGGAACGACTTCCCTGGTAGGATAAGTTAGTCAAGATTATCAAGAGTGGTGTGGATTATACTGCCTTGGGCCAGTTAAAGCTCGAAGGATTAGTGTCACTGAGGGACATCTATTTTACTGTGCGGGCCTGGAAATTGTTGGTCCTGCTGATTGATCCGGTGAATCCCACGAAGCCGATATTTTCAACAATTTGTATGTTCCCCTTCGGCGAAGCGACTCTTCTTTCCTTAAATTCGAAGTGATCGTGAACTGTGCCGTTCAATGACGCGTGAAGAGAAGTTTCTCGGATAGAACTCCTGAACGAATTCTTCGTTGCTGTGAGTATATCGTGTTTATCGCTTTCATTCAGAATCACCAGATCCACTGAGAACCCTGAACTTCAGCTCTGTGCGTCCGTTTCTGCGTCATTTTCATCATGAGTAAGCAGTGTGCGAAATGCTCGAAAACTGTGTATCCTCTGGAGGAGCTGAAATGTCTGGATAAGGTATTAATTAGCTTTTACGATGCGAGTCTTTCATGGCCTGTATATACATTTTCATTTTTCAGACCTGGCATAAGGGCTGCTTCAAATGCTGGGTATGTGGTATGACGCTGAATATGCGAACATACAAGGGATTTAACAAGTTCCCGTATTGTGAAGCGTAAGTGGACGGTTCTTAAGCGCAGATCGTTTTGTAGTGACTGACCTTTTTTGTTTTTTTCCAGGCACATTCCTAAACCGAAAGCTACCACAGTTGCCGAAACACCTGAGTTTCAGCGAATTGCAGAGAACACCAAGATTCAATCGAATGTATGTTTCATGCTCAATCAATGTTGTACAGCATTCAGCTTCATCGCCTACATTTTGATACCCTACTTTCTAGGTTCAGTACCACGCAGACTTCGAAAAAGCGAAAGGCAAATATACAACAGTCGCAGATGACCCAGAAACCATGCGAATCAAAGAAGCGTCCAAGATAATCAGGTAAATCATCTCAATGCTTCGCGAAAATGGACGCGTAGCTTGAGTACTATTTCTGATGTTTCAGCAATGTCACCTACCACGGCGATCTTCAGAAAAAGGCACAGATGGAGATGCGACGGAAACTGAGTCCTGAAAATGGCGAAGATGACAACAGCAACACAAGCATGATGCAGGCGAATCCCGGTTCTGTTCCCACTCCGAATGCGAATTACGCTCGTGCCGCCAACAAAGTTCTGCCGGCGCCCGACCATGGACCTATGGGAGATTCTCCATACTCTGCTCGCCAAAGTTCGACTGTGGTTTACACCTCTCAACGTGGACCGAGTATGAGTTTCATGCATTTGATTCCTTACATTTTGAATTCGGTTTTGATGGTCAGGGGAAATTAAATTCTGAACTTAATCTTCACGTGGATGCAGGTTAAGTCGGATTATAACTACAATACCGTGTTTTGGAAATTTTAAAAACCCGGAAGGAAAAGTAAATATCCAATGAGGGCCGTTAAAGATTGGCTTGAGCATCCCTTCCATTTTTTAGCACATGACCACGGGTTGCTGAAGTGCGCTTTAAATTTTGAATTGAAGCTGAAGATGTTTCGTGATCCTCTCTTTTATTTTGTCGAGTTCATGTAAGGTTGGCCGAAATATGTAACGAAATGCCGTTTCTATCGGTTTCGTTGTGACGCATATCATATTCGGGTACAGTACTGTATATCGAAACAGAACGTCGTATGCATCATGAACTTAGACGCACCTTTGTATGGTGATTGAATTTGAAAAATCTGCTTTTGGTGCACTTCACTCCTAGTTTCTTCAAAGCAAGATATGTGCGTGGATTGAATTCAGGTTTATGTTACACGCCTAAAATTCTTAAAAATTCACTATTCTGACTATGATGTCCTTGAAATTTAAATGTTTGTTTTTAGGATGCATTTATTTGGACTTGAATTTGATTCTTATCTAGAAGGTCTTGTTGGTCAGAAGCAATCCTGTACTTAATCTTCGAATTCATGACGTAATAAAATAGGAGACGCATCCTGAATATTCAATGTAAATTGTCTGTTATATTCTAGTACTGTACTGTATTGGACTGAATGCGCCATGTTTGGAACCTGTTCACGTCTCGTGCATGTTCGAACGCAATTTTGACCCAAGATTACGGATTTGATGTTTACTTCGATTTGTCGTGTAATGGAAGGAATTAAACTAAACTTGAGCTGTCCTCGGCGGGGGGAGTGAAGCTGTAATTAGTATTTCTATGATGCATCGTCGCTTTGAACTAAATAAAAAATGTTGAGAAATAATCACTGATTGAAGTAATCTCAAATAGGGCCTAATTTAATCGTTTTCCACGATCAAATCGAAATTCCGAACATATTCATGAAGTTCTCTCATGAATCATTTTTACGTAATCTTTCAGTGGAACAGCCGACGGGTCCCCAGCGCCACATCGGATCGATTGCGGATTACGACCCGATGAGCGGTGATTATCGTGGTCAGCACGCCTTTCGTGGTCACCCGCAGCCACAGCAACACGTCGGTCCTGCAACTCACCAGATGCATCGAGTGCCGCAGCAGTCACAGCGTGGATATCCTCCCGGTGGACAACAATATCCCGCTCAACCCGCTGACTACTATCCTCCTCCTCCTCAACAACAACAACAACAACATGGTTATTCCAGTGCTCCTGCGAGCAAACCAACACAAAGTCTTGGGGTGAGTTTCGTTTTGCTTCTGGTGACCTAGGTTATGACTTCATTGAACCATTCCTGTCCTTCCGTATCGGAATTTATTGAAAATCGGCCTGCGTACGTTCATTTGTAGGACACTTATGAAAGCAGTAGTGTTCTTCGCTCGGTCTGTTGTGTTCCTTTGTCTCGGAAAATTCGGATTTATGTATAAAATGCTTCATTTTTTAAAGCAGTGAACAATTCCTTTGTAGAAAGGAAATTTGATAGTGATCCATTCCACCGGGAAATTAATCTCATGGAATATTTTGAAGGTGTATTGAATGGCTGATCTGTTCAATATCTCCTGGTATTGGACATCGTAAGAATTGGCTTAGGTAACCTTTTGATCCGTGAATTTCTAAAGATTTGTCATTTTTTAAATATTGTTTTTGGAGCACTGTTGGGCATTGGTCCCGTCCTCGTGCACCCATATGGATGTCCACACTAAATATACTGAGGTTGGGTTGGTCTCAGCAGTTTTTCAGTGCATGGGATTGATATTACGTTCGCGTTTGGGTTATCTATGACTTTCGTATTGGATCAGGTCACGATAGCTGAGACTTAGAGATTTGATCAACTCTAGCGTTGGTTATCAGGTGAGATAAGTCAGGGTTCTGCCATTATGGATTACCTAATTCCGACTTGTGTATTGGGGTGGATATTCCGTTATTATTAGTTAAACTATGTTAATTTGATGAGGAAAAAACTGGAGAAACTAAGAGTCGAAGTTTTTGACCGACAAACTAAAATTGAATCGCCTAACACGTCGAAGGGAAGAATATGGACGACAATCTTTTATTCTGACTCACAGAGAACAACGTTAAAATTAACTTGATTACGGTATTTCTGACCTTGACTCCCGGATCTTGTGACAGAATGATAGCGAGGATATGTCGAAAGAATCGTCACTCGTCACCCAACGTAGAGCGTACACCCCTTGGTTAGTTGATCGGATCCGCGAATTGAACCTTCTCGACGAAATGGAGGCGAATCAAATTTCCCGTGATACTGGGCCGTCGGTGGATTCCGAATGCGTAGTTGAACGGACGTCATCTGACCACGGCGACGGCGAGTCCGTCTCTGAATCTTGCTTTTTCTCTATCGTCGCGACGACGACTACGACGAATGACGACGGAATTGTTGACGTGAGCTCGAGTCACGTTGTTCCAATACGAGTGATAGCCTCGTCTTCGTCGGTATCGTCGTTTTCGTCGGTGACTATGGAAGACGGAGTCAGTAATGCCGTCGTGACGAGTGGTGATCGTGAGCTGACGTCGGTGTCGTGTACGGATGATTTGGAAATGACGGAGGAAACTAATACCTGTAACAGCGAAACGGAGGATACGGAAGACAATGGGACAGCAGAATTTGATCCGACTAATTAATCCTTCCTTTTTTCTACACGGATCCATACCTTGATGATCTTGATTGTTTTTGTTTTTTTTCGAAGTTCTTACGAATGATTGTGGGTGATTACAGGTGCAGTGCGTGTGATTGACCCGATATAGCTTCGAATTCTCCGATTTTATTTTTTTTCAGGAGCTTTAATCTCGATTGATCGAAAATATTAGCTCGGTGGTATCGAAGTGTTCCACTGAATGTTATCCGTCGATTGTTTTGATCGGCTTGCTTTCAAGCGCCAGAACGGATAAAAAGTTCAATCGACGGCGCGATTTTCCTGGCTTATTACGAGTTGTTTTTGTATTTTCCTTCATGGAATTTTCCGAGTTCTGAACTTCGACCTGACGAAAGAAATAATTATATTTCCGTCATTTTCACTGTCCCCTTATTTTTAAAGATCGGCGTCGTGCAGCTTAACCTTTCGGAATTTTAAAAATTTTGTATTATCTTTCAATTAGTATTTTCAAGCCTCTGTATATTTTTCGCTATTGTACCGGTAAGTCTGAAACCATCCCCATTATTATTATGACCTTCACGACTGGACGGAAAATTGACCAGGTTGTTCGAGTTGAGGCGGGCAGTGATACTTCTTCGTGCTGCAATATGTGATTTGAAGGTTAAATATTTATTAAATTTTAGAGCATCGGCTCCTGTAGTAACCACTCGTTAATTTCATTAAATTTTCTTCTGTTCTCCTTTTTCCCTCTAAAAAACCGGAACGCCGAGGATTCCGTTGCCAAAATTCTTTTGATGCAATTTACAGTTTTTTGTTGTTGTTGTTCGATTTGTTAGGCCTCCTGGTGTCCCGAATCCGCTATTTCTTGTTATCGGATTGATGTTTTGTTCAGTTTTGTTGAGCAAATATTTTTGCTCCCTCGGGCTGGTCCCTTTGGTAGCGTGTGGTGCCAATTTAAGTCAGGCCTTTGATTTGGCTATGATTGTTGAGCGGAAAATCGATCCGATAACTTCTTCGACACTACATAAACTCTCCTGAGGGCTTTATAACTTTGGCATCGTATACAGTATTGTGAAATTGGAAGTTATTTTAATTTTTCGTATTTTTTCTTGCAGCGATGTTACAGAGCCATGTACGATTACGCTGCTGCGGATGACGACGAAGTGAGCTTCAAAGATGGGGACCTCATCATCAATTGTTCAAACATTGACGAAGGGTGGATGACTGGAACTGTGCAACGGACCATGCGAACCGGAATGCTGCCGGCAAATTATGTTGAACCTGCCAACTGAATGCGCGACTCCTGAAATAGGCCAATCAACAAATTTTTATCGAGACTGCAATCATTGTCTTACAAGGCAGCTTCCCATATTTCCATATGCTTCAGAAAATATGTCACCAAAGGGCACGATTATTTTTCACGCCTCTTAATACGAACGGGAAAGGTATTTGTTTTCTTTGCTGGAAACGGCTCATTTTGAACGTTGTTTTAATCATTCAGGAACGAGTTCGAAGTGGGATTGCATTTCTGGGAAAATTAGTTCGTCATAAAAAAAGGCGTGGAAAATGGTCGACCAGAAACGACTCGCGATGCTCGGTGCTCATCGTTCTTTTTTCGAATTCTTCGTTGAAAATTTCCAAAAATCTAATTTTTTTTAAACATTCGGCAAACAAGGTAGCGATGAGTCGAGGTTATTCAGCTCATCACTTCAACTTGAATCTGTGTCGTCAAAATATGGCTGCTTAATGGTGATTCCAAGCGACGAAGTTCTCGCGGGACGCGGAGCCCTTTCTTTTTTGTTCGTGTTTTTGAACATTTTTTTGCTATACATCGCTGTGTCGATGGCCATAATGATAATCCTCAAATGCACTAGTTAACCTTTGGAAATGAGGCCGGAAGTGAATGTATTGCCTGCTGAAAAATCAAGTAGCCAAAAGAAGTCGCTCGTATCTATTCTTGCTTGTGAAACAATCCTATTTTTACATTTTTAGCGAGCGTCTTTTTTCGAGTTCAGGGTTGTGCGTGCGAAGTGTGACGTCAGTATTGAAAGAATGACTCAGAAATACTCCAAGCTTTTTGGCGTGTGTATATTTTGAACAGTTATCAGATTTTTTTATTCTTGAGGTTTTTGCTGAGGGTTTGTTGTCTGAAACATTTTTTTTTTGAGGGAAAATACGACGAAAGAGCAGCAACTGACTGTGTTATACTCTACGTGCCTTCCGATCCGATTCCGACACACATATTCCGGATGTCTGACGAGCTTCTTGGATTTAATCCGTTGTTTTTTGTTGAGTAAGAAAGTTTATCTCGGAGCATTTTTGAAGCAATGATTTCTGCCGTACTTCGGATATCTCCCATTCGCGCGTTCCTGGGATCGTGTCATCATTGAATATTTATGGAACATCAAAACGTCGCTGGTATTTTACTAACCTGGATTTTTGTACCACGTTACTTTTTCTTAATCTTGTTCTCTGGCCGATCGAGTACGTAATTTTATGATGTTGGTTTTGGACGACGGAGAGAAGCGCTGATGAAAGAGTCAGAAGTAACACTTACTTCATTCCGTGTCTAATCCTGATTTGAGGAGGCGAGGAAACGACTAATTCCGTAAGTGTTGTCGACTAATGAATGGCGGGGTAATTTCCGGAAGGTTGACCGTTGCGACAGCGGGGTTTGAGCCTGGGCGAGTTTTTTCGCGGAACGGACGGGAAGTTTGAAAATAAAAATACTCGGTATATTTTTTCTGCACTCGTTCCATTTTATTTATTGTTTTCCTTGTGAAAATTTTTGGGTTCTGACCTTTTGATTTTTTTTTTTTCGTTTTTCAAGGTGACCTTGTGTCAGTGATGCCGTAGTGCGGAAAGTGTGTTGGTTGATTGCTGGGATATCTTTTTGCGACGTTAAGTACGTTAATTTTTTTTAGCGGTCAGGTGTCTGGAATGTTGTCAATACCTGGAGCTGCAAAATTCTGCTACGTATGTACGAATGAAGTTGGAGACTTCCTTATGTGTGGAAATGAGGTTTGAGATTTCATTTAAAAAGTGCGCAGAATTTCAGCTCAACATGGTATTTAATTTTTATTTATTTAATTAAATTCCTGACGCGGAAAGACTTCGAAAATTTGAACAAGATGTGGCAATAATTTACTCAACTTTGTAATACAGTACTCCTTTCTGTCCATGTGGTGCTCTTCTGAGGCACGCTGTTTTGGAACACGCTCAATTGATCCTGCATACAAGAGCGGCTGTCTGAAGCCCGTACATTAAATATAGTTCTGGTCGTGGGTTTCTCAATCCGCTTGATTCAAGGTAGAAATCGATCCCTAGACTTGCTGCATTTGAGGAAACCCTATCTTGCAAAGCTCTTAACGTTCAGGATCCATATAAAGGGCTTCTTACAATTCCTGCGAGTCTCCAACGAATGAGCCTTGTGAGCGAATGAAACCCAGGGACGTAATTTTACGTGTTTATTTTTCACTTGATGTAAAAATATCGATTTTAAGTACGAATCTGAGGGCATCTACGGATGGTTTGTGGAGAGTGACAAAATTAACTTTTAATAACTAGCCATCTTCTGTTTTTGACAGTACAGTAATCCTCTTTTTTTGTGGCTGCCATTCCCCAAAACTTCCCGAAAATGCCCTGGGGGTTCTAAAATTGTTGATGGTCAGATTCACATAGAGCACATTTTCATCGGAAATTACCATTTTTGACACCCTTCAGTCGGAAAACATATGCCAATTATTTTCGCCAAGAATTGTTCGAAGTGATGTGACAAAAATTGGGAAATTCTGTGGCTTTCTCAAAGAATATGTCACTTCATTTTCCGGGCTTAATTTCTCCCAAAAGGTTTGAAATAATCAGCGGTCGCGTTTTCGTGCAAAAAATTCTTTCAGCGCACTAAACAGATTGTCCTTGAATATAATGAATGCAGTAGTTCACATAATTCTATTGTTTTCGCTTGATTGCCAGAAATTAAGTGAAAAAATCAGCCGACGCGCATATTTTCTGCGGAAAAGATTCGAAAGTTGTGATTCTCAAGTTCCTGGCGAAATGAGGCGACATTTTTTAGAATCATAGTCGAACCTCTTCAAGTTCAATTTCAAGGGACCAGCAAAAAATAATCCGAGGTAGGGAAACATTTTTTTGTGGGGGAAACGAAGAAATAATTGCAGGTATTTGTAATTGGTGATATTCTGGTCCTCAAATTGATTCTTGACTATCTTGAGTAAGCTGGCATGATTTTGAATTTGAAGGCAAAGGTTAATGTCCCCGATTAGTTTTTCACTTTTTTTTTCAAAATTCATGAAGTTACATTTTTATTGCTTTCTTATTTCATGTTTAAATAAAATAATAGCCGAAAGGCATTGAGAAAATTCGACTCATGGACGTTTGAGTGGGTAAACCTTTTGATTTGAGAGGTGTTTAATGCATTGGCTCGTAGGGAATTCAGATAGGGACTTAAAAAAAAAAAACCAAAATAGTGATTCGACTGTGTGAGGTTCGATCTATCGAGGTTCAACTGTATGAGTTGAAGGAAAGTTGATGGCCCTGTTTCATCAGAAAGCACTGGCGATTTTCAAGTGGAAGACTTTGAGAAATGCTTTGTATCGTATTTGAACTCGCCCTCCGGTCCATTTGAGAAACGTGAGAAGCGGTCGTCCTGTCGCATAGCTTGCGTAACGTGGGACTAGTCGAGGTTGTCCACTCCGTGACCGGCCTTTTAATGAAGCCACAGCGAGTTCATCGTCGTGGAATGTCAAGCTCTTGCCGGGGAACGAAAGTGTTGAAAAATTCTAGGAAACGGGTCGTTGATTGCCTCCGTTTATTTATTTATTTTCTTCACATTCTCTCGCGCAAGTTTCCTTTCCACGTGGTCTTTCGCTTTTGAAAGGTGGTTTTTTTTTCGTTTCTTCTCCTATTTCCGAAAGAATCCCGAGATTCCTTCCGGATTTGAGTGTTGATGTTATGAAACGTGGGAGTGGATTCACGAATGATTTCCACTTTGACTGCAGCTAAAGCTGCGTTAGCGGTTTCCTTAGTGATCTCGGGCGCGATCATCGGAAGCGTTCATTACAAGCAACAACTTGACAGGTGATTTTTCGGAATTTCATTGATGTTACTTTCAGTTTAAATTTGAACATTATAACGGAATGGGCCGATCATCTCCCATATGTCCCGAGAGGGCCTGTTTCTCCTGTGTTCTGCAGAATTCGCTGGTAATCCGGCGTTTGCTGGGAGTGCTGCTCCGATAATTGGATGTCATGTGAACATGATGAGCAATAATTTAAAAATGTGAAGAGGAATATGCTCTTTGCAAAGACCAGGAATCAATTTTTTTTTTCTATTCCAAATGTAAATTTCCTATACAGTATTCCTATTCTGATATCAAATACAGCATAATATTTCACATCCCTGAATACTTCAGCACTTTTTGATATTTCAAGCCTTAGCCAACATCACAGTAGCTGTAAGATTCACAAATTCTTGAAAAGCAGATTAGGTTGACTTTAAGTTGAGCGTGAATTTAAATTTTATGTGTGACCTATTGCTTTTGGATGAGACGATACGATTTGAAATACTGTGCGTGTATATATACTGTACAGTAGTTTGTAAATTCAGTGTATCGATCTCAGTAAATCGTTTTCGATTGGATCTTGGTCGCAGACATTAACATTTCAAGCTGCAGAAATGTTGAAACGAGGATGTTAAGTGGAGATGAAAATTACCCTTGTAATTTTGTCGTTGAAATTCAAAACAACTTTTAAAAAGTTAGTTATTTTCCTGGCCATCGACTAGGTGGCAATCTTTTAACGGAATTCTCAATTGTAGTTTTTATAAATTGCTGCTAGAATTGAAGAAAATCGCTGTACATTACTGTATTTGTTGAGATAATGCAAAGAGTTGATATTCCCAGTGAGTTCGGTGAAGCAGGATTTTTTCAAATTTTAATAATTTTTATTTTTGTATTCGTTTTTTTTTTTCACGAGAACAGCCATAAGGAAAAGGCAGGGCATAAATTCAAGGTTTTTCGTTTTCCATTTGTGTCTAGATCACGAATGCACGATGGAATAATTCGGGATGTAGAGCGCCAACAGCGAAGGAAGATAGAAAACACTTACAGGTTGCAAGAGCAACGAGAACTTGCGAAGGTGTTGCGAAATCAGGACGAGGACGAAATCAACGCTGGAAGATCCGAATGAAATGGCGTTACAAACGCAAATTCGAGAAAATTTCCCGGAGCAGAAAGTTTCGCTTTTTTCTCAACTCCGGAAAGAACATTTGCTTGCTGGGATTGCTGGAGGAACCACCTCCACACTCCTGGTGAGTCTCGAAATACTGTACTTTCTTTCGGAATTTTATTGATGAATAGAAGTCATTTCTAGGTTGTTTTTTTTTCTTCAAGTTTCAGAGCAGTGAAAATTTCGAAGGTTGAATTTAATCAAAAGTGGTCTTTTCTTTCGATATTGAAAGCCAGAAGAACTTTATATGCAAAATGCTGATCATTCTAATCACAATATGATGGGTGCTCGATGATCTGTTCAGCATGTCCTTTAGTAACTTTAATGTTACTAAAAAATTATAATCTTGTATCAACGTTCCTTGAATGCCTGAAATTGTATGAAAATGCTTCATTTCCTGTTTTTTCACCATTGGAAAAAAGCGACAGCGAATGTTGAAAGAATGGCGGACTCACTGAGAACCTCTTTCACGACTGAAGGTTAGCTGAGGACAAAATCCGAGCTGCTAAATTTTCCCTATGTGGTTTTTTCTCTTGACAAAAAGAGTCGTATACTCAATCGTCTTCGTGAATTCTATTGTTGCAGTTGTAATGCGGAAATTTGTAATTTTTGGCAGATTAATTTCTTTTTTTTATGAACCCTTAGTGTACTGATCGTTATTGACGTTCAAATTCGAATTTCTTGCAGTTGCATCCATTGGACCTAATTAAAATCCGTTTTGCCGTGAACGAAGGTGCAACTCGAAGCCTAAACCGTCCTCAATACAATGGTGTTTTCGACGCATTTGGATCGATTTATAGGACAGAGGGAATCCGTGGACTTTACCAAGGCGTCGTGCCCAACATTCTCGGCGCGGGTTCAGCCTGGGGCCTATATTTCTTCTTTTATAATGCTGTGAAAAGTTGGCTACAGGAGGGAGATCCTCGACGGGATCTGGGTCCTGCCGTGCACCTCGCAGCCGCCACAAATTCCGGAGTCTTGACCCTGGCTCTCACGAACCCGATTTGGGTAGTCAAAACGCGATTGTGTTTGCAATACGACGCTTCGTGTAAAAATTACCACGGGTTCGTGCAAACTTTGGGCAAGATTTACCGAGCAGAAGGTGTTCGAGGATGGTACAAGGGCTTCGTTCCTGGACTATTCGGAGTTTCGCACGGGGCATTGCAGTTCATGGCCTACGAGGAGATGAAAACTCAGTACAACCTGAGTCTCGGACGGAACACGGACCATCGTTTAGAGACGCTAGAATATTTAGCTTTTGGGGGGTTGTCGAAAATATTTGCGACGATGACGACGTATCCGTACCAGGTTCTGAGGGCGAGATTGCAAGATCAGCATCGACAGTATCGAGGAGTCCTGGACGTGATTCGGCAAATTAGGACGCATGAGGGGTTTGTAGGTTTCTACAAGGGACTAGTGCCGAATTTGTTACGAGTGACCCCTGCGACTGCTATCACGTTCTTCGTGTACGAGTCAATTATATCCATGTTTACCCCGAAGTCGAATTAGAGGCAATTTGTTGAAGTGTTCTGCATAAAAAAAAAAAAGGAAAAATGGTGCAATTTCTTGCGACTTGAAGATGATGTTTGTTTCATTATTTTTACTTGCTTCTTTCGTGATGCGGAGCAGTGCGAAGTTGTGGTTTTCCCTCGGGCGAGAAACTGTGATACAGTACACTGCCTTCATCGTTTCATCAGTGATGAAGCCTTTCGTTTTTTGTAGGAGTGAATTTCCGTAGAGTATAAAATGAGCCGTCCCGAGAATTTCTTGCATGAAGTCGTGAAGTCCTCGCAGATCGTTTTTGGGATTTTAAATTGATGATCATATTTGAAATTTTCCGCCGCCTTAGTTTCTTAGATGGCTTCTTGTTATGAAAGTGGTGTCACCAAAAACTAGTCAAATGTAGCGACTGGATTTGTGTGGAGAATTGAAATTCAACCAAGCTTTCTAGCTTTGAACTGGAGTATGCACAATCAATGAGGTACGCCCCAGGTTTTACACGAACATTTATGTGTCAATAACTTTTGAAAATCTATGTAAATGTTGAAATCTTTGCTCCTCAAAGAGAAATTGACAACCTTTTTGCAAAGTTTTTCCTGTTCAAGACGCTGCTTTCACCCGTGGTGTTATTAAAAAACTTTGTGCTGACTTGCTCAATTTTTCAAGCTCTGATTCGTGGGGTTTTCGCGCAAATGAGCTACCGAAAAGTATGGCCAATGCTGCGTCTTTAAAAGTTTCTCGTGTTTTGAAGTGTATTGGGGTTATAGTACTGTAAGCAAAATTATTTCTAATTTCTGGTCAGATGTACGTAAAAATATTGCACCGCGGAAATGTGATGACGTCTTATTTTAGTCTCATTAGTGCTAATCCAATTGCCCACCGCGCTATACCTGTGTTGATGTCTTAATGCAGAAATTACATTCGAATAGAAACGTATTATTGCGAAGCTGGTCAGAAAAATATTCTGGTGTGATGCCTGTCTTTATATTAATGAAGTGCTAAAATTGCTTCTGATATCCTTCAGNTTCTGGTCAGATGTACGTAAAAATATTGCACCGCGGAAATGTGATGACGTCTTATTTTAGTCTCATTAGTGCTAATCCAATTGCCCACCGCGCTATACCTGTGTTGATGTCTTAATGCAGAAATTACATTCGAATAGAAACGTATTATTGCGAAGCTGGTCAGAAAAATATTCTGGTGTGATGCCTGTCTTTATATTAATGAAGTGCTAAAATTGCTTCTGATATCCTTCAGATTGTCGAACATTGACTTTGTTGAATTTAAACATTATATTTAGCTTCTCAAGAACACGCGTCTGTGCAAATTCCTTCAATAATTTTTCTTAAGATGAGAGAAAATATAGCTTAGTCCCCAGATGATATATTTGTTCGAGATCTACGTGGCATCATTTTTCTTGAAAAATTTAGAGGGAGAAGGGACAGGAACGAGGAAATACGTGTGTTTTACTTCCAGAATGAATCATTATCTGTTGATAAAGATCTGCCAAGTTGAATAACTTGTGAAGTTTTGTAAAAAAAATTAAGGTACAATATGTTAATTAAATGCTTTTAGTCCAACTTCGCGCAAGATTGAAACGCATCCCGATCGTTTTTCCCAACCATCTCCGTGTTTCAGAAAACAGCTGCGTTATCCCAGAAACGCATCCGAGAGAATCACGCACTCGTGATGAGAAAAAGCAGCGTTCTCGCTGCTGATAATATATAAAGTGACCTCACTCGCTCGCTATCGCAGTTGACCTCGGGGGCCCTATGAAATCTCACCGGAAACTTGCTTCTATTCTATTTTCCGTAGGAAGAAGTGAAGTCGCAGGAGAGACTAACCACTCACGCTCACCCTCCCTAACGGCGCGCGTCTACGCTCTCGAGGAGCCGCGGGTACGCCTTTTCACTCTCAGGCACAGACACACCGCTCTCAGCGCACTCGCAGACACCGGCCGAGTCCAGCCTTTAAGTGGATTCCGTCGCTCGACACGAATTCTGGTGTTTCCCCGCGAACTTGGATTGGTGATTAGTTCAGTCCAGTGGTGATCCAGTCTTCTTTAGCCCTTGGTGTGATCGTGTATCCGTGGTGAACCATTTGCGTTTGAAAGGATATTCAGCGAGTTCAGGGGTTAATATAGATTCCTTGGCGGGAATGCGGATGTTGACAGGGTAGTGGGGGTTAACAATCCAATGGATAATCCTTGCATGAGGCTGTATTCCATTGTTCTCTTAGGTGTTGCATTGTTTTGCAAATACATGTACTGTAGATTGAAATGAGGAATTACTTCGAGTCGCCGCTTGACGTAAATCCCGGTGTTTCCTCGCGGAGTGAATGAGTGATTTGAGTATAAGTCAGATCACTACTGATTCGAGTGCCGTTATTAGTGTGATCGTACAGTATATCGGTGATGAACCATTCGCGTTTGAAAGGATGTTCAGGAAGTTTCCGCGTTTTTCAGGATTAAGATCCATTCCGTATTAAGAATGCCGATGCCCACGGGTGGTGGGGGTTACGATTAATAATCCAATGGCTAATCCTTACATAATGCCATATTCCATTGTTCTCTTGGAT